TATGTGATAGTCGCACAATACCTCAATGTGTAGACCAGGGGTCTCCAAACTTTTCATCCCGAGGGCCGCATTAATTACCAAATATCAGTTCGGCTGCCAGTGTTTCTTTAAGGCATCTCTTCAGGGTCGTGGCGCCCCCCCCCCCCCGTAGATCGTCTACCGATCCCCCCCCCCCCCCCCCCCCCCCACAACGAAATATAATTAATATACAAATTTCAAGTGTTCACGTTTGCTCTCAAATTGTTCTTCACGTATTTCATCCTTGAAAATGTTTGTTCACGCAGGTATGTTTTTCGAAAATTTGAAGGGTACTTTGATGCAAAAAAATTAATGTTAGGAAAGTCTTCCTTGTGCAAAAACGTATGAAAACCCATCCGCCTTTCTTTGATCGTGTCTCTAATGAAGTCATTTTCTTGCAATTCAATGACCTCCAGCTGCAGTTCGTCTTTGCAACTGGCCACATTTGCTTCAAATAGGCTTTGAAACAGTCTCACTTCTTTTGCCTATGAATCCGTCAGAAAACCGCTACTGAAACTGCAGCTGGATGTCTTTAATGATCTCGTATGTAAATGACGCGGGGAACTCAGTGGTTGCTTCAGCCGTAAAGACCTTGCACTGCTGAAAGTGCGTCAAGTTGTTGGCCTGTACTTGTTCCAAAAACATGACAAGTTTGTATCTAAAGGCCTTTATGTGGGTGTATAGATCAGAAACTAGATTTCACTCTTTTGCCGTTTTAGGTTCAGAAAATTTAAATGACTAGTTATGTCTGCAGCAGAGGCCAATTTCTATACCCACTCTTCATCAGAAAAAAATGGCTGTGACTTGCCTTTACTATCAGGAAGTCACCTATTTCTTTTCTGAGATACTCTGCTCAGAATTTTCTCACAAAATTAGCAATCTTACTGATGTGAAATATGGTAAATCTTGCGTTTTTGTGTTTGTCTCTGAATATCCTCTCCGGTAACAGTGTCATACATTCTATGTAGGGAAGCCAGCTCTTGTGTTATGTTCAGGTTTTCACCCACACCTCTAATGAACACACGAAGTTGAGAGGTGGAACAGCTGCCCAGCGACTCATCCATTGCAATTGAAAAATGGCTGAACTTGCTTGTATTTTTCGCTATTAGAGTCACTATGTTTTCACCAATGTCTGCAACACGACGAGTAATTGTATTTGCACACAAAGCTACATTTTCAAATAGTTTTGAATTTTCTGTGCAAAGCTCCTCAGCCACCTCCAACAAACATTTATTCAGTGGACAAAAAGATCGTCGCGGGCCGGATAAAATGACCTCGCATGCGGCCCGCGGCCCGTAGTTTGGAGACCCCTGGTGTAGACCATTAAGGACTACATTAACTAATCCTAGTTTAACGAAGAAAAACTGTCCATGATTCAAACTAAACGGTTGAAAAGATTCCCAGTCCTTAGGAAATGAGATTCAAGAAACGCGATTATTCCAATCTTAGCCCAGGTGTGTAATGTGCACCCAATTGAAAAACCTACCCGACAAACCTACCCGACAAACCTACCCGACAATCCTAATAGACAAAACTACCAGACAAACCTATCTGACAAACCTACCAAACAAACCTACCAGATAAACCTACATCAATGCTGTGGATTTTTGCTACTTTTTAAAATGTATACGCTCGTTAAGGTTCGTCTGTTAAGTGCTGTTTTCTTATTTTAAATCATGTCATACTACACATAATAAACATATAAATATATGGGATAAATCGTGGGATTTTTTTTTATCCTCCCCATGTGGGTCAATGTCATATTTTAATAGTTGTGTATAGTGCACTTGTGCTTTAGTTGTCATGTGGTCTAGTTCGTGTGTAATGTAGTACTCCTGTGGACTAGTACTTTGTGGTATTGTACTCGTGGTGTAAATTTTGGGTTGTGTTCTGTTACCACAATCAAGTAATAAATAAAACAGTGAATCAAAAATGCAAAATTGTCTACCGCCCCCCCCCCCCATCCTTCCGGAAAATTTAGTTCTCCCCCCCCCCCCCCCCGAAAATATCAAATGGTTCATTGTTCATGGTTCATGGTTCATGGTTCAAGTAAAATCACAGCGTCGTTCACAATAAATTAAATTCACATTTCAAGTTTCATATAGACATCAACAACAATATTCACAATACATAAAAATTCAAATATCAAATATACAGCAACAACGTTCTAGGTACGTCATTGAATTCACAACAGTCTTCACAATACATAAAATTCACATTTCAAGTTCCAAATATACATCAGCCACGTTGTATATACGTTATTGGATTCACATATGTCTTCATAGTATATAAAATTCACATGTTTAATTTCAAATAATCACCAACACTGTGTATACCAAATAGTAAATTGTAAACTTTCACCCTGTAGCCTGACAAGACCGTTATTGTTTATCTTTTAAGTTTTAAGCTTGAAATATTTACAGATTTTGTATGGAAACCTACATTGCAAGAAATATTTATCCAACATACACACTGACTGCAATCATGCTTGAGTATAATACAAATTCATGCACATAATTTAAGCACCAAAAAAAAATGTAATACTCAAATTCTTAGACCAAAATACTCTAACGTGTACTTCTTAAAGTATATTTAGGGTAGGCCTCAAGGAAGATAAATTTCAGACGCAGTTCTTAACTACAGAGGCATAAACTTGTTATAACAAAGCTACAATACAAACATTAAAGTTTCGTATGTAAAATCTTTAACGAAAATTTTAAAAATTATCAAGCGTAAAAAAAATGAGTCCTGCATTTTAACACTTATATTTTTGTAGAAGTATATTTTAACTCTTTTTTTAGAGAGGTTAATTTTAACACTTATAGTTTTGTAGAGGTTTTTTTTTAAAAATTGTACAATAACTATTGTTCTTAGTCTTTTATTTTCAATTGACTTCTTTACATAAATTATCTAAATTTATTGCATCGTTTTTTAATCGATTTTTTTTTGCAAGTTTCTTTTACTGTCTTTAAAAAAAATAGCACGAATCAATGTCAATACAGACGGCATGACACTCTGTGCTATGTTGTATCTTAACACACAACCACACATTAGCACTCAATTCATACCTATGTGAGATAATGTGACTATATGTATCTGATCACACAACAACATGTTAACACACACTTTATACAAATAAGACTTACTAATTAGCAGTACAACTTCTAATTTCAAACACTCCTTTCATGATATCTTATGTGGCATTTATAGTATTTCATTTGGCAATATTTTATCAAAGCAATATTTTATCTGGCTTACACAATGCAAGTACAGGACTGTAATACTAATGGATATAATATCATATGATAGATATTTTATGCACAGCACCAATTGTATATGGACATAACCAATATTGAATGGACACCGTCAGAATACTGAAATACATGAGCAATATTACACGCATAGCACCAAATGATGAGGGCAATATCTTTTCTTGTATGGGCTTTACGGTATGGTGTATGGGCTTTACGGTATGGTGTATGGCATCACGCTTCAGCCTTTGTATGTAGGACCCGGCAGTGGGGATGGGGTGGCGAGGGGCTCTGCAGGTTACACATTGGTAAGTGTCGCCGTCTTAAAATCTGGAACTGTTTTCTTGTAGATTCTCACAGGTATATCGGAGACATACCTATACCGGAATACTTGTCAATAAGGCTAGATTTGTCAAATTTGGTCGAACTTGTCAATATGGCCAGAATTTGCCAAAACAGCCAGACTTCTCAATATGGCTGAATGTTTTAGTTGGATCAGACTTGTTAAAGTTGACGGACTTGTCAATATGGCAAGACTTGCCAATCTAGGTCTTGTAGGGAAAATCCCGATGATAGATATCTAGGTGAGACTAGTCTATATAGGTGAGACTAGTCTATATTGGTGAGACTCATTTATCTAGGTGAGACTGGTCTATCTAGGTGAGACTGGTCTATCTAGGTGAGACTGGTTTATCTAGGTGAGACTGGTCATTCTAGGTGAGACTGGTCTATCTAGGTGAGACTGGTCTATCTAGGTGAGACTGGTCTATCTAGGTGAGACTGGTCATTCTAGGTGAGACTGGTCTATCTAGGTGAGACTGGTCATTCTAGGTGAGACTGGTCTATCTAGGTGAGACTGGTCTATCTAGGTGAGACAATTCTATCTAGTTGAGACTAGTCTATATAAATGAGACTAGTCTATACAGCTGAGCCTATTCTATCTACGTGAGACTATTATATCTAGGTGAGACAATTCTATCTAGGTGATACTAGCCTATATAGGTGAGACTATCGTATATAGGTTAGACTAGTCTATATAGCTGAGACTATTCTATCTTGGTGAGACTATTCTATCTAGGTGAGCCTATTCTATCTAGGTGAGACTATTCTATCTAGGTGAGACAATTCTATCTGGTTCAGACTAGTCTATATAGGTGAGACAAGTCTATATAGCTGAGACTATTCTATCTAGATTAGACTATTCTATCTAGGTGAGACTATTCTATCTAGGTGAGAGTATCTAGGTGAGACAATTCTATCTAGGTGAGAATATTCTATCTAGGTTAGACTATTCTTTCTAGGTGATACAATTTTATTTAGGTGAGACTAGTCTATATTGGTGAGACTAGTCTATAAAGCTGAGACTAATCAAAATAGGTGAGACTGGTCAGAATTATCTGCCATTTTACACCCAGCTGATTCATCCGTCAATCTAGATTCTTCTAGATCAAGCGGTCAAACTATTTGATATTAGGTAATTGACCCAGACCCAGGCATTGTTTCTTTCAGACATTTTTCTTCGAGGGAGGGGTGCACTTGAAAATATTGGGGGAGGGGGGCGAGTACTACATTTCCCGCTAGGGGGGGGGGGCTTGGACACTGGTAAAAGTATATATTGTCAATATGAATTTTCGTTCGTTCGGGAAGGCGGGGGGCGGTAGACGTTCTTCGAGGCGGAGTCCCCCTCCCAGAAGAGATGCCTGGAAGAAACTCTGGACCCAGGACCCGAGCAGTAGGGTAACGCCGACCTGAAGACTCCACCCAGCTCTCTCTCCCACAAGTTCCCTGTCGTGGCCCTCGCGGCCTCCTCAGTCCCCGATCCCGATCCAGTTGGGCGGGAAAAAGTCCGTGGCCTCGAACATCCGGCTCCTCTCCGAGCCCTCCCTGAACTGTCGGGTGTAGTAGATGACGTCACCGCCGACGTCACCGCTGACGAACCAGCCTGCCCACCAGCCGAAGGTTCCGACGGACATGATCACGTGACGGCACATCGTCAACACGCGCATATGTACCTGGCAAGGGGGAGACAGAAAGTAATCTTGATCATTAGTCGCTATTTACTTAACAATAGGGCTGGTAAGTAGGTCACCAACCAGTTCTACGGCTCATGCAGGTTTTATTGAGCCGTAGAACTGGTTGGTGACCTACTTACTAGCCCTATTCTTTATAATTTAATCACAAATCAGTCGGAAATCTCTTTTTACTTTGTCACTATATCGTCGCTGATAAGACTGAAATCATTTCTCATTTAGTCGCTAATTAATCGGCTATTTTTTTGCAATGGCTATTTGCTCCTATTGATCGACCTGCCTTGTTAATTAGTCATTAATGAGTTGTAAATAAGAAGTTTAAACAGTGGCCTTTAAAGGCTTTACTTAGTTCCTGACTAATTGCTAATTAGACTCCAAAAAGTCGCCAATTAGTCGCCAATGAGTCGCTTATTCGTCTTTACTTGATCGTTTTACAGGGGCATGAGGCAGCATGATATACTTGACATAATCAACGCCTACATCCCCCCACCCCCATCCCCGGGGAAAACAAAGAGCAAAGCACCTATCCCCACCCCCTCCCCACCGCCGGGGCAACAAGCAGCAGCTGGCACTGTCAACACATACCTCCCCCCCCTCGTGTAACAATACAACCCTAACACTATCAACACTTACCCCCGGGGGGTAACAGTACAACCCTAACACCATCAACACCTACCTCCGCTATGGCAGGAGGCAGGAGGACCACCCTGGCACCGTCCACCAGCGTCGTCTGGCACCACGATCGGTCATCCGTGGCGACGAGAAACACCACGTTCTTGTACTTGGCCTCCATCCAATCAAAAGCCTTCCGGAAGTACGTGTCAGAGGCCACGAGGTCACCGCTCCCCATATCCTTGCCGTACGTCTTATCCCTCCTACGCACATGCACGCCAATAGGAATCCTATCCCCAATGACGTCTTTCAAACTCTCTAAACAATCGCTCGCTAGTTTAGTTACCCAGTCGAGAAAAACAAACTCTTTCTTAATCTCCTCGGTTATATTTTGGAAATACTTAAACGACTGTAAATATCCGTTAAAATGTATATCCCCGGATGTTAGGTTTAATAAAGTCGTATCGAATTTCCCGAAACTGTGTTCCAAAACGACCGTCCATTTTCTGGACACGTCGAAGGACATGACGTGAGTGACCTTGAAGAATTTGGCGACTCTGAAGTGGGGTTGGATAAACGGGATTTTCCGATTTCTCCTGGCCAGGCCTAGGAGCCCTGCGTACTGGAACATGTTGTTCCCGAGCTGACCCATCTCGTCGCAGGCGATGTAGCCCGTCAGGGGCGCTAGGGTGCTGGGCGCTTCCTTCGGAGGCGCGCCCGTGGTGGGTGCGTGTATGGAGGGTGCGCCCGTGATCGGTGCGTGTATGGAGGGTGCGCCCGTGATGGGTGCGTGTATGGAGGGTGCGCCCGTGATGGGTGCGTGTATGGAGGGTGCGCCCGTGATGGGTGCGAGTATGGAGTGTGCACCCGTGGTGGGCGTTTCGAAGTTAGGCACCCTCGAACTAATGACGGCAAGTTGGTTGTAGACTTTAGCTGGAGGTTCGTGTTTGCTGGTTCTACTGTAGTAGTAGCCAGTGAAGGCTGCAAAAATAAATTATTATTACAATGTGACAACAGCTGTCGACAGAATAAATAAATTAATCAAACATGTCTAATATCAACTGATCGTCTTTAATCCAGCATACATTGTTACATTAATATCACACAGTATTACTAATCAATACTGGGTCTGTGACGCGACCTGGCCAGTTATAGAATTTAAATTAACATATTTTTGTCTTATTTTCAATTAAAATGTAACCCAAAGACTAAACTGTACCAAATTTATGAATATGAGCAATAAATTAAAAAAAATTATATTTCATTCGAACTTTCTGTTTATTATATTTTTTAAACCAGTTTGTTCTAAAAGTGATAAAAAATATATTTTAGATTAGGAAAATATTCCAGTTTAGAAACTATTTTTTTTTAATTGCTTGAATATTTTAGAGATAAAACCACTTACATATGAAGCACACTGTGACGACCAGCAGTGTAAGAACGAAGAACCTCTGTAGTATCTTCAACATTCTCTACATCCGGTGTCCGCCACTGGTCAAGGGGTCGCTTGTGGACGGATAGGGTCAAGGTCGGTCCTGTTGGAGGTAAAGAACGATGGGGGATCTAACTGAAGAATAAAACGTTAAATAAAGCGTCTCAAAACGTTTATTTGACACTGAATCAACATAGAACAGGTCGATTGAGAAAAATTGAAACGGGTGGGTTTGTGCAATTTATACAAAGCGTTCAAACATACACATATAGATACAGGGGGTGGGGTTACATTAATTCCTAGGTACAAATACACGGTCATACACGGAAACGCTACGTCTGTTGTTGAGGGCATGTAAGTCGAAAGCTAAGCATTCAACCGTGACTTGGGGTGCTAGAGGAGACGGAGCTATTGGGGGGGGGGGGGTACCGTGTGGAACTATAGACCATCATACAGACGTTTATATACTAGGGCTGGAGAGAGGGGAAGGCAAAGACGCCACTGGATGGATGGCATCAAGGATTGGACGCCACTGGATGGATGACATCAAGGACTGGACGCCACTGGATGGATGACATCAAGGACTGGACGCCACTGCATGGATGACATCAAGGATTGGACGCCAATGGATGGATGACATCAAGGATTGGACGCCACTGGATGGATGACATCAAGGATTGGACGCCAATGGATGGATGGCATCAAGGATTGGACGCCAATGGATGGATGACATCAAGGATTGGACGCCAATGGATGGATGACATCAAGGATTGGACGCCAATGGATGGATGACATCAAGGATTGGACGGGGTTGCCCGTTTCAGAACAAATCAAAGTGGCAGAGGACCGAGATGGATGGCGGAGAATTATATGATCAACTGTGGTGCCCCGACCACCCCGAAAAGGGTAAAGCTATGGTGATATACATACACACACACGCACTATATATATATATATATATATATATATATATATATATATATATATATATATATATATATATATATATATAGTTATTGTCCCATATGTTCAGGGACAATAGACCGGGGGAAAGATGAGATACAAAAGCCGTTGAAGAAAAGGCACTAGTGAGTTAAAGTGTTATCCACAACATGGGTGAGTTAAAGTGTTATCCACAACATGGGTGAGTTAAAGTGTTATCCACAATATGGATGAGTTAAAGTGGTTATCCACAACATAAATAAGTTTAAGTGGTATCCACAAAATGGATGAATTAGAGTGTTATGAACAAAATGGATGAGTTTAAAGTGTTATCCACAATACATCCTAGTAAAAATTAAAAACTAAAAGGAGAAGGCACACCCAAAGTTGACACCTTTCTGCATGACTATTTATATACCCACTTACCGTACTACAAGGGCGGGCTACTCCAAACAACATTTCTAGTTGACCTCACGTAAACAAATGAGAGAACAAGCAAGTATCAGATCGTCCCCTGGTTCAAGACTTATAGACAAGTGGTTTATGTTGACACTGAGGGGTGGGGGGGGGGATAAAACACAAAGGGACGTGGCAGGTTTATGATAGGTAATGGTTTTGTTGTTTGTGGCAGTCGGATGTGACGTCAGCCCCATGATTGGGCATGCGCAGTCGTGGGGTAATCTGAGGGTGACAGGCTGTTACAGAAATGTTACAAATGTAACAGGTGTAAGTCTGGTAAAAGGTGGGATAGCTAGTTGTGTGACGTCAGGTTTGAAACGTCGCGAAATGATTGGTCACTAGAGGGGATGGGGTTGGGGGTTGGTTGGTAGAGTGGCACCATACTGGCAAGTAGACTTAGAGTTAGGTAGAGTGGCATTATACTGGCAAGTAGACTTAGATGTAGGTTGGTTGGTAGGGTGGCACTATACTGGAAAGTAGATTTATAGGTAGTTAGAGTGTCCTTATACTAGTAAGTAGACTTAGATGTAGGTTGGTTCGCAGAGAGTCAGTACATTGGCGAGTGCGCTGGCCAGTAGAGTCGATATACTAACACTCTACTTGCCAGTGTGGTTCGATCATGGCTAAACAAAGGACAGAAAGTCTGTTGATGTAATATGAACAACAGAGATATATAGAGATGACTAAAACAGAAGTTAAACGTCTACGTTGAAAAAATACCCCGATAATGGCAAAGATACCACTTACCAAAAGTTAATGAAAACAACCCACCCTCACTGCTTGTGTTGACAACATGCCTTTGACTATTACACCACAATATCCAATTTAAAAAAAAATAATTAAAGAAATACTTTGAGAAAAATGAATATAAAATCCTTCTAAAGTTGTAGTTTTGTTCTACTCCTTATGCCTCTACATTTCATTTCTACATCCAATGCACCGTTAACGATTATTGTATTTCTTTTATACGGAGCCTTATGTCAAGTCTACTTATGTCCCTCTCAATCTCGACAGTGGCGAATTTAGTTACATAAGTTCTTGCAGATGTTACACATATATCATTCATATATACTCATCCGCCTGTAGATGTAGCTTCACACACAGTTTTTAATACCAATCACACATATGTTACACACGGTGCATTCGACTGTCACCTGGGATGCTATAGGGGGAGTGGGGGGGGGTGTAGGGAAGCGGTACATATAATAAATGTGTTTCCTTCAATCAAGTAGGACCATGTCTAATAATGTATCAAAGCCTTGATTTATGGATTACCAGTGGGTATGATTGCCGTTCTACAGCTAAATTAATAAGTAAAACAGGGTCATCTGTTTCTATACACACAGTTGATTAGACCAACAAAAAAAAAACAATAGCCTTATATTATTGAACACACATTACAGAAAAAAGAAGGTTTATTGGTTTGAAATTGTGTATTGCCTGTATAACTGTATACATGTACACATTTATACATATAATATATATATATATATATATATATATATATATATATATATATATATATATATATATATATATATATATATATATATATATATATATATATATATACATATATGTGTACACATAAGGATGTGTGTGTGTGTGTTTGTATGTATGTAGACAATTCCCACGATTGTACGCTAGCTACAATCTGTGATATTCGCACAATACCTCAATGTTTAGACCATAAAGGACTACATTAACTAATCCTAGTTTAACGAAGAAAAACTGTCCGTGATCCAAACTTAACGGTTGAAAAGATTCCAGTCCTTAGGAATTGAGATTCAAGAAAAACGATTATTCCAATCTTAGCCCAGGTGTTTAATGTGCAACCAATTGAAAAACCTTTCCCCCGACAAAAGTACCCGACAATCCTAATAGACAAAGCTACCAGACAAACCTATCCGACAAACCTACCAAACAAACCTACCAGACAAACCTACCAGACAAACCTACCCGACAAACTTGCCCGACAAACCTACCCGACAATCCTAATAGACAAACCTACCAGACAAACCTATCCGACAAATCTACCAAACAAACCTACCAGACAAACCTACCCGACAAACCTACCAGATAAACCTACATCAATGCTTTGTATTTTTGCTACTTTTTAAAATGTATATGTTTGTTATGGTTCGTCTGTTAAGTGCTGTTTTCTTATTTTAAATAATGTCGTATTACACATAATAAACATATAAATATATGGGATAAATAGTGGGATTTTTTTTATCCTCCCCATGTGGGTCAATGTCACATTTTTATAGTTGTGTGTAGTGTACTTGTGCTTTAGTTGTCATGTGGTCTAGTTCGTGTGTGATGTAGTACTTGTGTGGACTAGTACTTTGTGGTATTGTACTCGTGTTGTAAATTTTGGGTTGTGTTCTGTTACCACAATCAAGTAATAAATAAAGCAGTGCATCAAAAATTCAAAATTCAAAATTGTCTACCGCCCCCCCCCCCATCCTTCCGGAAGATTTAGTTCTCCCACCGAAAGTATCAAGTGCCCCCCCAACCCCCACCCCCTGGAGAAAAGAGTCTGGAAGAAACACTGGAAAGAGACCCACGCTTTTCTGTATAGGGGTCGTCCATAAATGACGTCACACTCGTAGGGGGGTGGGGGGGGGTCCGTAATTTTGTGACGGTGTGTGATAAGGGGGGGGGGGTTCAGATTGCTGCGACGTCACACTTTTGCATTATAAAAAAGCAATGTTAGAAAACGAATTTTAGATGTGATTTTGCGTTTTAGAAAACTGTTTTAATAAATTGTAATAACAATTAATTAAAATACTCTATTTTGACAGAGTTCAGGCAAGATTTTAGAAAAAAATAGCTGTTAAAAATAAATTCAACTGCAATTTTGAGGGGGGGGGGGTTGTAGGTTGAGGTGTGACGTCATTGTAGGGGGAGGGGTCTGGCTTTTTGTGACGACGTGTGACGGAGGGGAGGGAGTGAGGTAAAAATCGTCAAAATAAGCGTGACGTCATTTATGGATGACCCCATAGTTATTTAAACAATAGTGTATTAAAATACATTTAATGACAATATTTTGTTTTTCTCTCCTTGTTAGTGCATTATTACATAAAGCTTGTTATTATAACGTTTTTTTATGCAATTTTTTCAGACCTTTCAAATTGTTTATACAATAGACTTGCATGACTAAAACGATGGCGCACCAAATAAACATGATAATGCGCGTATAATTGTGCGGAAGATTAATTAGTTATCCAATTAAGTATAATTTGATTACAGGTGGCATTGTCTTCATGTCTTGACCCACATTTCAATCTTTGACGACAGACAAAAGCACGACAGAAAGACAAACAGAGGAAGCAAGTTAATTAAAAGCTTGGAATAAAAGCTTGTAAAAATAAAGAACAAAGACAGTTCGCCCGAGAATCAGTACATCGGTTTCAACTAGATAGTTATAATTAAATGGTTCATGGTTCATGGTTCAAGTAAAATCACAGCGTCGTTCACAATAAATTAAATTTACATTTCAAGTTTCATATAGACATCAACAACAATGTTCACAATACACAAAAACTCAAATTTCAAATATAAAGCAACAACATTGCATGTACGTAATTGAATTCACAACAGTCTTCACAATACATAATATTCACATTTCAAGTTCCAAATATACATCAGCCACGTTGTATATACGTTATTGGATTCATATGTCTTCATAGTATATAATATTCACATGCTTAATTTCAAATATTCACCAACACTGTGTATACCAGATAGTAAACTGTAAACTTTCACCCTGTAGCCTGACAAGACCGTTATTGTTTATGTTTTAAGTTTTAAGCTTGAAATTTTTTACACATTTTGTATGGAAACATATTGCAAGAAACATTTGTCCTACAGGCGCACTGCCCTGACTGCAATCATGCTTGAGTATAATACAAATGCATGCACACAATTAAAACACCAAGAAAAATGTAATACTCAAATTCTTAGTCCAAAATATTCTAACGTAAGTAACCTTATACTTTTTAAAGTATATTTTAGTGTACGCCTCCAGGAAGATGAATTGCGGACGCCGTTCTTAACTATAGATGCATAAACTGCTTATAACAAAGCTACAATATAAACAAACATTAAAGTTTCATATGTAAAATCTTTAACCAAAATTTTAACAATTATCAAGCGTATACAAAACGAGATCTGCATTTTAACACTTATATTTTGGTAGAAGTATATTTGAACTCGTATTATTTTAGAGATACATTTTAACCCTTATATTTCTGGAGTGGTGTTTTATTTTAACTGTACAATAAGTATTGCACTCAGTCTATATTTTCATGTGTCTTCTTTACACAAATTATCTAAATTTATTGCATAGTTTAAAAATATTATTTATTATTTTTTTGCAAGTTCCTTTCAATCGTTTAAAAAAATAGCCCGAATCAATGTCAATACCGACGGCATGACTCTCTGGGCTATGTGTGTCTTATCACACAACCACACGTTAGCAAACTTAACACACAATTCACACATATATGATTATTTGTATCACATCATACAACATCACATTAGCACACTTTACACAAATAAGACTTACTAATTAGCAGTCCAACTTCTAATTTCAAACACCTCTTCCATGATTTCTTATGTGGCATTTATAATATTTCATTTGGCAATATTTTTATCTAGCTAACAAGTACAGGACAGTAATACTAATGGATATAATATCATATGATACATATTTTATGCACAGCACCAATTGTATATGGACATAACCAATATTGAATGGACACCGTTAGAATACTGAAATACATGAGCAATATTACACGCATAGCACCAAATAATGAGGGCAATATCTTTTCTTGTATGGGCTTTACGGTATGGTGTATGGGCTTTACGGTATGGTGTATGGGCTTTACGGTATGGTGTATGGGCTTTACGGTATGGTGTATGGGCTTTACGGTATGGTGTATGGGCTTTACGGTATGGTGTATGGCATCACGCTTCAGCCATTTATGTAGGACCCGGGGGTGGGGATGGGGTGGCGAGGGGCTCTGCAGGTTGCACATTGGTAAGTGACGCCGTCTTATAATCTGGAACTGTTTTCTTGTAGATTCTCACAGGTATATCGGAGACATACCTACACCGGAATACTTGTCAATAAGGCTAGATTAGTCAAGTTTGGCCGAACTTGTCAAAATGACCGATTTGTCAAAACAGCCAGACTTCTCAATGTGGCTGAATGTTTTAGTTGGATCAGACTTGTCAAAGTTGCCGGACTTGTCAATATGGCAAGACTTGCCCATCTAGGTCCTGTAGGGAAAATCCCGATGCTAGATATCTAGGTGAGACTATTCTATCTAGGTGAGACTATTATATCTAGGTGAGACTATTCTATCTCGGTGAGACTAGTCTATGTAAGTGAGACTAGTCTATATAACTGAGCCTATTCTATCTAGGTGAGACTATTCAATCTAGGTGAGACAATTCTATCTAGGTGAGAATATTCTATCTAGTTGAGACTATTCTGTCTTGGTGAGACTATTCTATATAGGGGAGACAAGTCTATATAGCTGAGACTAGTCTATGTAGGTGAGACTGGTCAGACTTATCTGCCATTTTACACCCATCTGATTCATCCGTCAATCTAAATCAAGCGGTCAAGCGATTTAATATTAGGTAATAGACCCAGACCCAGGCAGTTTTTCTTTCAGACATTATTCTTCGGGGGAGGAATGCACTTGAAAATATGGGGGGGGGGGGGGGGGGGCGAGTACTACATTTCCCGCTGGGGGGGGGGGTGGGGGGGGGGGCTTGGACACTGGTAAAAGTATATATTTTCTATATGAATTATCGTTCGTTCGGGAGGGGGGGGGGGCGTTAGACGTTCTTCGAGGCGGAGTCCACCCCTCCCCCCCCCCCCCAGAAGAGATGCCTGGAAGAAACTGGAACCAGGACACGAGCTGTAGGGTAACGCCGACCTGAAGACTCCATACAGCTCTCTCTCCCACAAGTTCCCTGTCGTGGCCCTCGCGGCCTCCTCAGTCCCCGATCCCGATCCAGTGGGGCGGGAAAAAGTCCGTGGCCTCAAACATCCGGCTCCTCTCCGAGCCCTCCCTCACCTGCCGGGTGTAGTAGATGACGTCACCGCCGACGAACCAGCCTGCCCACCAGCCAAAGGTCCCGACGGACATGATCACGTGACGGCACATCGTCAGCACACGCAGGTGTACCTAGGGGGGGGGGAGTGACAGAAAGTAATTTTGATCATTAGTGACTAATTAGTTCCTTGCTAATTAGTTGCTATTTACTAGGCAATAGGGCTGGTAAGTAGGTCACCAACCAGTTCTATGGCTCATGCAGGTTTTATTGAGCCGTAGAACCGGTTGGTGACCTACTTACCAGCCCTATTCTTTTTAACTTAATCGCAAATCAGTCGGAAATCTCTTTTTATTTAGTCACTTTATAGTTGCTAATAAGTCTGCAATCATTTGTCATTAAATCGCTATTTAATCGGCTATTCTTTTTTGTAACGGCTATTTACTCCTAATAGTCGACCTGCCTTGTTAATTAGTTATTAATGAGTTGTAAATAAGAAGTTTAAACAGTGGCCCTTAAAAGCTTTATGTTGTTCCTGATTAATCGCTAATTAGAATTCAATTAGTCGCCAATGAGTCGCTTATTAATCTTTACTTGATCGTTTCACATGGGCAGGACATACTTGACATAATCAACGCCCACCTCCCCCCCCCACATACACATACACACAAACACATCCCCGGGGGTCACAGGCAAAAGCATAACCTTTGCGCCGTCAACACCCAGCTATGACACCGTCTACACCTACCCCCCCCCCGCCCCGTGTAACAGTACAACCCTAACACTATCAACACCTACCCTCCTCCCCTCCGGTGTAACAATACAACCCTAACACCATCAACACCTACCCCAGGGGGTAACAGTACCACCCTAACACCATCAATACCTACCCACCCTCCGGGGTAACAGCACAACCCTAAAACCATCAACACCTACCCTCCCCCCTCCGGTGTAACAGTACCACCCTAACACCATCAATACCTACCCCTCCCCGGGATAAAAGTACAACCCTAACACTATCAACATCTACCCTCCCCCACTGTGTAACAATACAACCTAACACCATCAACACGTACCACCTGGGGTAACAGTACAACCCTAACACCATCAACACCTACCACCCGGGGTAACAGTACAACCCTAACACCATCAACACCTACCACCCGGGGTAACAGTACAACCCTAACACCATCAACACCTACCACCCTGGGTAACAGTACAACCCTAACACCATCAACACCTACCCCAGGGGGTAACAGTACCACCCTAACACCATCAACACCTACCCTCCCCCTCCGGTGTAACAATACAACCCTAACACTATCAACATCTACCCTCCCCCACTGTGTAACAATACAACCCTAACACCATCAACACCTACCCCCCCCGGGTGTAACAATACAACCCTAACACCATCAACACCTACCTCTGCTATGGCAACAGGCAACAGGACAACCCTGGCACCGTCCACGAGCGTAGTCTGGCACCACGATCGGTCATCCGTGGCGACGAGAAACACCACGTTCTTGTACTTGGCCTCCATCCAATCAAAAGCCTTCCGGAAGTACGTGTCAGGTGCCACGAGGTCACCGCTCCCCATATCCTTGCCGTACGTCTTATCCATCCTCCTCACATGCACGCCAATAGGAATCCTATCCCCAATGACGTCTTTCAAACTCTCTAAGCAATCGCTCGCTAGTTTTGTTATCCAATCGTGAAAAACAAACTCTTTCTTAATCTCCTCGGTTATATTTTGGAAATACTTAAACGACTGTAAATATCCATTAAAATGTATATCCCCGGATGTTAGGTTTAATAAAGTCGTATCGAATTTTCCGTAACTGTGTTCAAAAACGACCGTCCATTTTCTGGACACGTCGAAGGGCATGACGTGAGTGACTTTGAAGGCTTTGGTGATTCTAAACTGGGGTTGGATGAACGGGATTTTCCGATTTCTCCTGGCCAGGCCTAGGAGCCCTGCGTACTGGAACATGTTGTTCCCGAGCTGACCCATCTCGTCGCAGGCGATGTACTCCGTCAGGGGCGATAGGGTGCTGGGCGCTTCCTTCGGGGGCGCGCCCGTGGTGGGTGCGTGTATGGAGGGTGCGCCCGTGGTGGGCGTTTCGATGTTAGGCGCCCTCGAAGTAGTGACGGCAAGTTGGTTGTAGACTTTAGCTGGAGGTTCGTGTTTGCTGGTTCTACTGTAGTAGTAGCCAGTGAAGGCTGGAAAAAATAAATTATTATTACAATATGATAACAGCTGTTGATAGAATAAATAAATTAATCAAACGTGTCTAATATCAACTGATCGTCTTTAATCCAGCATACATTGTTACATTAATATCGCACAGTATTACCAATCAATACTACCACTATGACGCGACCTGTGAAGTTATAGAATTTAACTTATTTTTGTCTTATTTGAAAAACGTGGGGCGCCGAAGTAAACGTTTTTTATCGGTCATTGTTAATATAAGATGTAAAAGTTATATTACTATTGAATAGATAATACTGTGGAGTTTTAATAGGGAGCCCCACGTTTTTCATTTTTTGTTATAATGCGCACACAGTTTGCGATCGCTTATAGTAGAGTGATCGCTTGCATTATTGTGATGTATAGCATTTATTTTCTACTTTTTAGTTCAAACAGAAAACGTGGGTTTTTTTTAAAAAAAATTAATGATAATTATTTTCTACTTTTTAGTCTTTGTCTGTTTGTTTGCATTCAAATCTTGCTATCGATTTTATCTTCTCGCATTTAGTTTTTATTTTGGGTAAACGAAGACAAACAGTCACAAAGGACGAACACAAAGATAAAAGGGGCTTATACCAGGTATGACACGCTTATTATTCAGGATCAGCTGGAGGTTCGTGTCGACGCAATCTTTCCATCTCCTGTAGACATTCCTCATTGCAGGGTTTTTTTCCTGTTAGCTTGCTGCAATCCAATTCCACAATGCGTACGCCTTCGAGTGATCGTACTCGACTGAGCGCAACAAACGCCTGGCCCGTTTCAAAAAGCGCTGGTCCTAAAAAGACAACTGCGTGATCAACTGTGCAGCTTTGCATTTTATGCACTGTGCATGCCCAGCATAGAATTATGGGCAGTTGTCTTCGCTCGACTTTTCCATAATTCACTTTTCCATCAAATTCTACGCATCTCGGGTCAATCCGATGGATTCCATCTGGCCCAAAGTCAATGCTTAAGTCGGGAATGTCTTTATCAATCTGGTCGCGTCTGAAATTAGGCCAATGAATTTCTGTAATGTTGCCGATTAACCAGTCCCTTTTCAACGATGATGTTCGCTCTCAACATCACTTTAGCGCCGAGGAATATTTCCATTTCCTTTTGCAATCCTCCAGTCTCAATCGCACGAGCAGTAGCATGACGCATTCTATCTTTTGCTTTACGAGAGACACTTTGTTCTTCTGTTTCCATCGCTAAAGCAGCAGATTTTCGGTTTCGATCTTTTTCAAGCTTCTTTAGATACTCACTTTCTTCCATAATTTTTGGTTGTTTAGGAGGATTTTCCAATCTGTATCCTGCATTGCGCTTCTCCTGATACTTCTGGCGTGCCTTTTCCAATCGGCGTTTCTTCTGTGTTGCCGTTTCTTTCACCATTTTGCCCTCGCGTGCAAACTATTCGACCATCAACATTCTACTTCCGGATCAGTCAGATTTGCATAGGTTTGTACACAAACACCGCGTGACCACTACTCAGCCAATCGCGTGCTCGCTCCTTCATGTTTCATTTGTTTTTCAGTAAGCCAGAAGAGGGAAAGTACCGAACCTTGTTTTTATCAAATTACAATTACTAGGTTATGTCCTTTTTTTGTACAAATCAATAGGAGTCTAAAATGATCAATAACATTTTTCCATGGATCAATTTAGTAATAATAATAATTGAATATTGTATTGTCATCGGAAACAAAGCTTCCCTGAAAATTTCAGCTAACTGGGAAGTGCCCGAAATTTCGATCGCAAGATTTGATGGAAAGACAAACAGACGCGAAAGCAAGTTAAAGAAAACGTGGGAAAATGATCCAGTTTTAAAAGCATTTAATTTTTTGTTTGTTTGCTTAAGTATTGAAGAGTTGTAACTACTTACATATGAAGCAAACTGTGACAATAAGCAGTGCAAGAACGTAGAGCTTCCGTAGTATCTTCAACATCCTCTACATCCGGTGTCCGCCACTGGTCAAGGGGTTGCTTGGGGACGGATGGGGTCAAGGTCAGTCCTGTTGGATGGGGATCTAACTGTAGAAGCAGACGAGAAATAAAGCGTCTCCACACGTTTACCTGACACTGAATCAACATAGAACAGGTCGATTGTGAAAAGTTGTAACGGGCGTGTTTATGCAAATTATATAAAGCGTTCAAACATACACATATAGACACACAGAATGTGTGATTGCATTAATTCCTAGGTACACATACACGGTCATACACGGGAGCGCTACGTCTGTTGTTGAGGGCAGGAAAGTCAAAAGGTAAGCATTCAACCGTGACTTGGGGTATTAGAGGAGACGGAGCTATTTGTGGGGGGGGGGGGGAGGGAGGGTACCGTGTGGAACTATAGACAATCATACAGACGTTTATATACTATGGCTAGAGGGAGGGGAAGGCAAAGACGCAGCAGGATGGATGACATCAAGGATTGAATGGGGCTGCCCGTTTCAGAACAAATCCAAGTGGCAGAGGAAAGAGATGGATGGCGAAGAATTATACGGTCAACTGAGGTGCCCCGACCACCCCGAAAAGGGTAAATCTATGGTGATATACATACACACACACGCACTATATATTAAGTGGTATCCACAAAATGGATGAATTAGAGTGTTATGAATAAAATTGATGAGTTTAAAGTGTTATCCACAAAACTGCCTAGTGAAAATTAAAAACAAAAAAGAGAAAACACACCCAAAGTTGACACCTTTCTGCATGACTGTTTATAGACCACTTACCGTACTCCAAGGACGGGCTACTCCAAAAAACATTTCCCATAGACCTCACGTAAACAATGAGATAACAAGCAAGTATCAGATCGTCCCTGGTTCAAGAGTTATAGACAAGTGGTTTGTGTTGACACTGGGAGGTAAAACAAGGGGGGCGTGGCATGTTTATGATAGGTTATGGTTTTGTTTTGTGGTATTCGGATGTGACGTCAACCCCGTGATTGGGCATGCGCAGTCGTGGGATAATCTGAGGGTGACGGGCTGTTACAGAAATGTTACAAATGTAACAGGTGTTAGTCTGGTGAAAGGTGTGATAGCTCGTTCTGTGACGTCAGGTTTGAAACGTGGCTAGTTGATTGGTCAGTAGAGGGGAGGGGGTTGGGGGTTGGTTGGTAGAGTTGCACTATACTGGCAAGTATACTTAGAGTTATGTAGAGTGGCGTTATACTGGCAAGTAGACTTATTGATAGGTAGAGTGGCATTATACTGGAAAGTATGAAAGTTAATGAAAGTATCAAAAGTTTTAATGAACCCATTTCGACATTACGGTGGGTGTTGACGACAAGTATTTGACTATTAAATAACACCATTCCATTTACAAATAAAAACATATTGTGGGAAATATTTTGAAAAAAATGAATAAAACGTCCTTCTATAGTTGTGGTTTGTTTTCCTAATTATGCCTCTACATTACATTTTTTACATTCAAAGCAATGTTAAAGTTTCTTATATTTCTTTATACCGAGCCTTATGCCAAGTCTACTTATGTCCCTCTCAATCTCGACAGTGGCGAATTTTTTATGAGTTGCTGCTGATATAAACATACACATGTACTCATAAGCCTGTAGAGGTAGCTTCATACACACAAACACACACTCTCGCACGCACACACACGCACACACAAACACACACACACACATACACATACAAACATACGAAACCAGACAATGGTTTCGGGCGTTTGTCGCATTCGGGCATTTGTCGCATTCGGGCAAGTGTCCATTCGGGAAATCGGCCTTCGGGCAAGTGTCTTTCGGGAATTTGTCGTAGACCCATATATATATATATATATATATATATATATATGTAAAAATAAACATATATGTGTACATATATATATATATATATATATATATATATATATATATATATATATATATATATATATATATATATATTATCTATATATATATATATATATATATATATATATATATATATTTATATATATATATATATATATATATATATATATATATATATATATATATATATATATATATATATATAATATATATATATATATCTATATTTATATATATATATAAACTTATAAGTGTACATATATACATACACATATAGACGTGTGTGTGTATGTGTGTGTGTGTGTGTTTATATGTATGTAGACAATATATATATATATATATATATATATATATATATATATATATATTTATATATATATATATATATATATATATATATATATATATATATATATATAATATATATATATTTATATATATATAAACTTATAAGTGTACTTATATACCTACACATATAGACGTGTGTGTGTATGTGTGTGTGTGTGTGTGTTTATATGTATGTAGACAATACCCACGATTGTACGATAGCTACAATATGTGATAGTCGCACAATACCTCAATGTGTAGACCATAAAGGATTACATTAACTAATCCTAGTTTGACGAAGAACAACTGTCCTTTATCCAAACTAAACGGTTGAAAAGATTCCCAGTCTTTAGGAAATGAGATTCAAGAAACGCGATTATAAAATCTTAGCCCAGGTGTGTAATGTGCACCCAATGGAAGTAGTTCCTCTTGAAGGTACGCGGTTTGTAAGAGGAGTTGTAAAGGAGTTGTTGAAAAAAATTGGGGCTGGAATTCTCTTGTGGCAGGCCTGGAAGTGTTACCGACACGAGGGTCGTCTTGTGTTACAGTAGGGGGGGGGGTGGGGGTGGGGGGGGTGGAAGTGTGCCAATTCGTGGGGGATTAATTGGGTCTGGATATGACTGGGTGAATGATATAAGTTGACTGGGGAAGTGATATACGTTGATTGATAAAATGAGACTGATAAAATGTGAATGGTATAATTTGAATGATACAAGTTGAATGATAGAAGTTGAATGATACAAGTTGAATGATATAATTTGAATGTTAAAAGTTGAATGATACAAGTTGAATGATACACGTTCAATGGTGTAAATTGATAGGTAGAGGTGATTATACAAGTTGACTGATACAAGATAAATGGTACAAAGTGACTGATATAAGTTGACTGGTAAATGGTGATTTGACATATGGTGCACGATACAAGATTAATGATAGAAGTTGACTGATAGAAGTTGACTGATATTAATTGACTGATGCACCCCTGCTGCCCAGTCAATAGCACACTGTTGTTCTAAAGTTCAGTCAACTCAAGTCATGTAACATATGCGTGCACCCCACACAGAAGACCTTAGATACGTCACGCTCTGACGAACCCAAACAAAACAAATGCCTAGATCAACACGCTAAGGTAAATACATCATGCACAGCACTTATTCGCTCACTTAAGTTTTTAATGCAGAATTTTCAATATGTTAAACGGTTAAACGAAGGTTTGTTTTGATTTCCGTGTGGTCGATGTGATTGGCACAGGATGAGAGGGTAGTGTATAGACCTGGGTTCGATTCCTGGTGGTTGGGCAAATTGATGTGCAGGTTGCAAGCGACACGTCGCACACATATCCCACAGCTATCCCCCCCCCCCCACACCTACTTGCAAATCTAGCTCTAAACACAGAGGCGTTGCGAGGTGGGGACGTGGGAGGGGGGAGGGATGCGGACCGCATCGGGTGACAGCCTTTAGGGGGTGACACCAAGACAAAAAGTCCAAAATATATAGATAAAAAATTGTTTTTGCCAGTAAATGAATGCTTAATTAGAGGGAAAAAGTCTTTTAAATACAAACTGACAAATCCTGGCAACGGTGGGGAGGTGACACCATGACGTAAACCTGCTAACTATAGAGAAAACAAGGGTACATCCAACTGTATTAATAACCTACTATAGATAAACATGGTTCCTGTTAACTGTAAACACTATAAAGTATAAAATATAAAGTTGGTGAAGCCAACTGCAAAATTTACAGAGGAAAAGATGTTAAGTTGAATATTTTAGTTACTGGTAATCAAAGTCAATCAACGGTCAGTGTGGGGTGTCATCATATTTAATAATTTGCTATCAAAACGTTGCTTAATTAATAGGCATACATACATATTTTTATTTGGTGGGGGGGGGGGGGGGTGACACCTTGAGGTTCCGCATTGGGTGACACCCGACCTATGGACGCCACTGTCTACACATACCCTCACACCTTCCTCTAACACTACTTCCCCACAAATTCACACACATATGCTCACACACACACCCTACATCGACTGCCACACATAATCCCACACATACCCTCACACCTTCCTCTATTCCTACTTCCTCACAAACTCCCACACATATCCCCACACATACCCTCACACCTACCCTTACACCTACTCGCACATCTATCCACACACATGCTCAACAACAATGTTTTACATACTCCCACACATTCACACAAACTCTACCACACACAATTTACACAGTCACATAACATTCACTTACACATGTAGCTGCACACACTATTATACACATTTTGTACAAACACACATATATCGACACATATCCTCGAACCTTATCACCAGACTAACACCTCTCCAACCACTTACTACATACATAACCATAAATTCTACATACAAAACCCTAAACTCTACATACATAACCCTAAATTCTAAATATATAACCCTAAATTCTACATACATAACCCTAAACTGTAAATACATAACCCTAAATTCTAAATATATAACCCTAAAGTCTACATACATAACCTTAAATTCTACATACATAAACCTAAATTCTACATACATAAACCTAAATTCTACATACATAACCCTAAATTCTACATATATAACCCTCAATTCTTCATACTTAACCCTAACTCCACAATACGTACCTTCTTACATTAAGTAAAATAAACTAACATATAACACATCAACTCACGTGAAGAGACACGCCTTTTCCGGTCACACTTCACGCTTCACGTTTCAATGTTTCACGTGACGGGCGTACATCAAATTATCAATTAAAAAACATCCTGTACAAAATCTCGATCTCTGAATTTACACAAGTACAAACATGTACACATTACTAGCGTGTCGTGTGTCGTATCCCCGTACACATGTGTGTAAATATCCACTTGATCGTACGTATTTACAGCTCGGTACACATTTAATAGCGTGCACACGTCTACGGTACATTCATAAGGACAGACGGAAGAGGATTCATTGGCGAATCAGTGCGTGACGTCCATGTATTTATAACAATCCAAATACATTTACAAAACGTGTTAAAAGCGGCCCAGATACCGTAACACATATGTTTGGTTAGGTGACTGTTACTCCATTAGCGAACGTGTATGTTTATGCAATGTGGTTGTACCCACGACAGATGGACTAATTACATATATACTGTAGCCTGATATTTGTTGGGAGGTTCTCATACTATGAGCAGTGGCAACACTACTAGTTTAAAGCATTCCGAATCGGGGAGGGGGGGGGGGAGTGTGCTGTAAAGTGTCATAGCATACCTGATATTGTCTGAATTCGTTCAATCCGACTTATCTTATATAGACTTAATATATGACTTAGATTATACAGACTCAATATATGACTTAGATTATACAGACGTAATCATATATCCTTATTATCCGACTTAAATTATGCACACTTAATCATGTTGCCCAATGCTTAATCAAGGTTCCTAAAACTATACACACACACACACATATATATATATATATATATATATATATATATATATATATATATATATATATATATATATATATATATATATATATATTTATATATCAATTTACATAATTCAACTTGTAACGTTCAACTTGTATCAATGAACTTGTATGATTCAACTAGTATCATTCAAATGATATCTTTCAATTTGTACCAGTCGCATTTTATCATTCTTATTTCATCAATCAACGTGTATCACTCTCCCAGTCAACTTATATCAGTCACCCCCCCCCCCCCCAAGTGTAATTCAAATCGAAAAACGGTTGAAACATTTCATGTTTAAATTTAAACCCTGACCTGTAGCTTTCCGATTAAAAATTAAACGGTATAATAATCCTAACATAAACTTTTATTGTCTCTGTCATTACGCCCTACCTTCCTACATGCCATCCCCCCCCCCCCCCCACCCCCATCCTACTACCAATACGCGTTAAATGAGAACGATCTAGACAATATAGTATGCTAAAATATTTTTGTTTTACGACCATAACATCGGGTAGATAACGTTTATTGCTTTAGCCGGAGGGGGGGGGGGGGGGCGGGTTGGGGGTGATTTCAAATTAGAACAACAATGTTTGGGTTAAAATAAATCTGAAGCGTTCAAGTCGTTAGGTTGGTGGAGTGTTGTTTCCCTTGAATTACTGGGGCGTGTTTGGCTGAATCATTAGCGGTAGAAACAAAAATGGAAAGGCGTGTTGTGTAGTGTGTTGTAAAAATGTATTTTACTCTTATTTAAGTGCAATTTTTGGTTGTAAATGACGTCCCCACACTCCCTATGGGATGGGGAGGTGCAGCAGGAAGGAAATTTATGGTAATGAGGGGAGGGGGGGGGATGAATTGTAATATATCGTAATATTTTGTAGTCTAAGAAATATGTTATTTTATTAAGAGTGCGGGTATGAACACAGGTTATTTTAAAGGTCAGGTTTTTTTTGTGACGATGTGTGTGATGATAGAGGGATAGTGGGGGCGTGGATAGGGGGGATAGGATGAAATTAGCTATCGTTGCGTGACTTATGGTTAAACTTCAAGTGAGTGGTCATTTGCAGGTAAAAACAAAAATAATTTTGTGTAAAGCAAAAATAAAGGTGTAAAGTAAAAAAATATAATGCTTTGTGTATAGCAAAAACAACTTTAAATTTATTAAAAATGAATTCGTAAAGCAAATCAACTGTATAAAGCAAAAATGTAAAAGTATATGAAAATCAAAATAGCTCTGCGTAAAGCTAAAAGAATTGTGTCTATAAAAAGATTATTTGTACTGCCTGCGTGATGCTTTAAAATAACTCACCATATTTTACAAAAGTAAGAAAAACACGCCATTTATTAAAAGCCTTTAATTTTATTTTTTAAAAGTAACATCACAGTACCCCAGGCTTTCACTACGATTGGAGAAATTTAAAAAAACCCAACCCAAACGTAAACTAACCAATTTTAGATTGATCTAGATGTATTCTTACACGATTTTCTGACCCAATTTCACACGCGTTATGTATGTCAACAATGTCCAAACTCTCGTGGGAACACGTGTGACATTGGATCAGTTGAGCACAAATGTGTGGGGAAAATTCCTTCCTGGTTTTGAGATTTGATTCCCATGCAAGCTACTTCCGCCACTTTGTACACTTCATAATGAAATTGGTCTACAGCTAACATACTGATGTCAAACAATTGTAAACTAGGTCTAAGTTTTCTAATTAATGTTTACCCTAGCAACCAATCAATTATCTACATTTATATCATCCCTTTCCTTTAAAGTATGGCTGCTTTTCTCTTATTCATTTAAAGAATTTCAGTCCCACTATTGAAACCTGTATACACTGTATAGAAAATATAGACACACTATCAAATAAGAACACACTGTGTATTGATGACACACTACTAAATAATGACACACTGATCACTTTACACACTCAGAGATAGACACACGCTCACGAGGTAGTATACATATGAACGTAACTCACTCTAATCAGCTTTAAAAACTATTTTTTTCCTAATTTACTACCGCATACATAACCCAATACTAAACACGCCAAAAAAAAAATAATTAAAAATCCAGTATGGCAAGTCTGCCGTGTTCTCCTCATGACAAAATGATCTGGCCAGTTATCCTCCGTGTGTGGCTCTCTGTGTGTCGACAACGCCGTAGTGTACCCGTCGAGTGGAGGAGCCGGGGAGGGGCCGCTACGCCAGAGAGTAGAGCAGTGCCTTCATCTCTTTTGTGAGGTGTAGGCCCACAAGTTTGCGGCGAAGGTTCTCGAAGTCTGCGAACTCAAGAGCCGTTCGGTTCTTCTCCCAAACGGTGAAGGTGTCTTCTTCGCTGGAACCAATGTGTTGGTTAGGTGATTGTCAGGGTGGTGTGGTGTTGTGTGGTGCGGTGTGGTGTGGTGTGGTATGGTGTAGTTTGGTACGGTGTGGTGTGGTGTGTTGTGGCGTGGTGTGGTGCGGTGTGGTGTGGTGTGGTACGGTGTGGTACGGTGTGGTACGGTGTGGTGTGGTGTGGTGTGTTGTGGCGTGGTGTGGTGCGGTGTGGTGTGGTGTGGTACGGTGTGGTACGGTGTGGTGTGGTGTGGTGTGGTGTGGTGTGTTGTGGCGTGGTGTGGTGTGGTGTGGTATGGTGTGGTACGGTGTGGTGTGGTGTGGTACGGTGTGGTACGGTGTGGTGTGGTGTGGTGTGTTGTGGCGTGGTGTGGTGCGGTGTGGTGTGGTGTGGTACGGTGTGGTACGGTGTGGTGTGGTGTGGTGTGGTGTGGTGTGTTGTGGCGTGGTGTGGTGCGGTGTGGTGTGGTGTGGTACGGTGTGGTACGGTGTGGTGTGGTGTGGTGTGTTGTAGCGTGGTGTGGTGTGGTGTGGTATGGTGTAGTTTGGTACGGTGTGGTGTGGTGTGGTATGGTGTAGTTTGGTACGGTGTGGTGTGGTGCGGTGCGGTTTGTTGTGGTGTGGTGTGGTACGGTGTGGTGCGGTGTGGTGTGGCGTGGTGTGGTGCGGTGTGGCGTGGTGTGGTACGGTGTGGTACGGTGTGGTACGGTGTGGTGTGGTGCGGTGTGGTGTAGTGTGGTACGGTGTGGTGTGGTGTAGTGTGGTGCGGTGTGGTGTAGTTTGGTGTGGTGTGGTTTGGTATGGCGTGTTGTGGTGTGGTGCTGTGTGGTGTGGTGCGGTGTGGGGAGGTGTGGTGAGTTGAGGTGCGGTGTAGTGCGGTGTGGTGTGGTTTGGTTTGGTGTGGTGTGGTACCGTGTGGTGTGATGTGGCGTGGTGTGGCGCGGTTTGTTGTGGTGTGGTACGGTGTAGTGTGGTGTGGTGTGGTGCGGTGTGGCGTGGTACGGTGTGGTTTGGTGCGGTGTGGTTTGGTGTGGCGTGTTGTGTTGTGGTGTGGTGCAGTTTAGCTTCGCGTGGTGTGATGTGGTGTAGTGGCAGTCTGTCCAGTATCCAGACTTAATACAGTGGTCAATGTTAATACAGAAAACATCTACTTATATCCAGTGCTAATCCTGGGGTCGACGTTAATCCAGTCAATTAATGTTTACTCAAATGAACTTTTTTCCGACTTCCGTGATGTCAGTTTGATTGGCAGCTAATTTGAGGCAAGTGTGTGAACCTGGGATGTATGATGTACAGCTGGCATGCGACATCTACCCACACATATCCCCACACATATCCCCACACATATCCCCACACATATCCCCACACATATCTCCACACATATCCCCACACATATGTCCACACATATCCCCACACCTATCCCCACACATATCCCCACACATATCCCCACACATCCCCACACCTACCCCCACACATATCCCCACACATCTCCCCACACATATCCCCACACATATCCCTACACATATCCCCACACATACCCCACACCTACCCCCACACATATCCCCACACATCTCCCCACACATATCCCCACACATCTCCCCACAAACATCCCCACACATATCCCCACACCTATCCCCACACATATCCCCACACATACCCCACACACATCCCTAAACATATCCCCACACATAACCACACACATATCCCCACAAACATCCCCACACATATCCCCACACATATCCCCACACATACCCCACACACATCCCAACACATATCCCCACACACATCCCCACACATATCCCCACACATATCCCCACACATACCCCAGACCTATCACCACACCATCTCACACATCTAGCACTACACAAACAAACACACGTATCAATATACCTACTCCCTCACATATTCCCACACCTCCCACAAATACCCCACAACTACTCCCCCACATACACACACATACTCTTCCCTCCCACAAACAATTTACACACTGCTATCTCACGATTCAATAAACTGTAGTTAGCATCACACTATGTTGGAGCTGATGCTGTGCCTAGTGATCTTTTGTGTCAGATCAGAGCTCAAAAGAGTCGCCAGATAGGCCGTCCAAAATAGTCACTCAACAGTCCAAATAGGCCGTCCAAAAGGGTCACTCACCAGTCCAGATAGGCCGTCCAAAATAGCCACTCACCAGTCCAGATAGGCCGTCCAAAAGGGTCACTCAACAGTCCAAATAGGCCGTCCAAAATAGTCACTCAACAGTCCAAACAGGCCGTCCAAAATAGTCACTCAACAGTCCAAATAGGCCGTCCAAAAGGGTCACTTACCAGTCCAGATAGGCCGTCCAAAATAGTCACTCAACAGTCCAAATAGGCCGTCCAAAATAGTCACTCACCAGTCCAAATAGGCCGTCCAAAAGAGTCACTCACCAAATAGGCCGTCCAAAATAGTCACTCAACAGTCCAAATAGGCCGTCCAAAAGGGTCACTCACCAGTCCAGATAGGCCGTCCAAAAGAGTCACTCACCAAATAGGCCGTCCAAAATAGTCACTCACCAAATAGGCCGTCCAAAATAGTCACACACCAGTCCAGATAGGCCGTCCAAAAGAGTCACTCACCAGTCCAGATATGCCGTCCAAAATAGTCACTCACTAACTAGGCCGTCCAAAAGAGTCACTCACCAGTCCACATATGCCGTCCAAAATAGTCACTCACTAACTAGGCCGTCCAAAAGAGTCACTCACCAGTCCAGATAGGCCGTCCAAAAAAGACGGTCGGCAAAAGCACACAACCCAATAAACACATTTTCGTCCACCTTGGTTTCCTCGTTAATGAAGAGACAGATGACGAGAGTGTCGAAATTCTGGACACTTAGGTAGGACCCGAACAGGACATTTAGCGCAGGAAAGAGGTTCTGTGGAGATAGGACATTATGTGGTGTCTATGACCCAAACAGGACATTTAGTGCTGGAGAGATAGGACATTTTAACCGTACGACCCGAACAGGACAAATTATTTTCATTGTAGGGCCCGAACAGGACATTTAGTGCCGGATAGAGGTTCTATGGAGATAGGACATTTTATCTGCAGGGTCCAAATAGGACATTTAGTACCTACATATCTGGTGAACAGGGGACATTATTTAGGACTCGAAGAGGAAGTTAGTAAAGGTTGGATATATATACATAAATATATATATATATATATATATATATATATATATATATATATATATATATATATAAATACATATATAAATACATATATATATATATAACTTTTTAAGGCCCTTATTAAGTTCAAGTTTTCATTTCCAAACTTAGGGTAGATGCAGTAGAGCTCATCTGTATTTGTCACCTGTGAACAGAAACTGCTCAGCACGATGCCCAGCCTCATCTACTTTACCATGCGTGAATCAGGTGCCCATCAGACCTGGGTAAAACATCCTACACACTCGGGATCCGAACTTGGGATCTTCAGTTAAGGAGTCATGAGCTCTACTACCCCACCACGCCGTCTCAATATAGGTTAGCTTAAGGTGCCAACGGCAGGCAGAAGACCTTGACCCCGGTCTGTGGTTACCTTGAACTCTACGAGATCAGTCAGTTTGTTCTTATACTTTTTGAACAGCTCAGAGTATCTTCTCCGCTGGTCCCTGGATAGTCGCGTCTGAGTAGACAGGAATTGCAGAGGAGTCATTTCTGAAATTAGGGTCAGAGTCACGACAAGTTACCGCACGACTCCATGATAAATCTAACTTGAAAAACTACAATGGTTCTATCAACAATCGTTGAACATACATCTTTGTCAACACAATGTACACCCATCTCGCTTCCACTAGAAACCTGATTCGAAAAACTCAAATGGTCATATTAAATAACTAGGTCAGCGATTGTTTAATACAAATACAAATAAATTTACACGCAGATGTCTTTCTCTTTGCTCACGTGCAGTAACTAACACCACGCCCCCCCCCTTACCCTGACCACCCCACAGTGGTGTAGCCAGGATCGTCTCAAGGGGGGGTTCCAATTTTTACCCGGGGACAAACTTCCGATTTGCACCCCCCCCTCTCAAACTTTCGATTTGCACCCGTCCCTCCTCAAACTTTCGGTTATGACCCCCCCTCACCCCCCCCCCCACCCTGCCTACGCCACTGCCACCCCAAAACCAAAAGGTATCCCTACCTTCCAAAAGTTTTTTGTTGAACGGTAGCTCATACCGGAAGGAGCGACAGGCCGTCTCTAGTCTAGAGATGACCCAGGGGGGCAGGGCGTCGCCTTTAAGTCCCAGCTGTGGATGTGTAGGTGTAGTGTACAGGTGGGGTGTACAGGTGGTGTGTACAGGTGTACAGGTGTGGTGTACAGGTGTGGTGTGGGCGTGGTGTACAGGTGTGTTGTACAGGTGTACAGGTGTGGTGTACAGGTGTGTTGTACAGTCGTGGAATACAGGTGTGGTGTACAGGTGTGTTGTACAGGAGTGATGTACAGGTGTACAGGTGTTGTGTGGGCGTGGTGTACAGGTGTGGTGTACAGGCATGGTGTACAGGTGTGGTGTACAGGTGTGGTGTACAGATGTGGTATACAGGTGTGGGTGACATGTGTGGTATACAGGAGTGATGTACAGGTGGGGTGTACAGGTGTGGTGTGCAGGTGTGATGTACATGTGTGGTGAACAGGTATGATGTACAGGTGGGTGTACAGGTGTGGTGTACAGGCATGGTGTATAGGTGTGGTGTATAGGTGTGTTGTACAGGTGTGGTGTACAGGTGTGGTGTACAGATGTGGTATACAGGTGTGGGTTACATGTGTGGTATACAGGAGTGATGTACAGGTGGGGTGTACAGGTGTGGTGTACAGGTGTGATGTACATGTGTGGTGAACAGGTATGATGTACAGGTGGGTGTACAGGTGTGGTGTACAGGCATGGTGTATAGGTGTGGTGTATAGGTGTGTTGTACAGGTGTGGTTTACAGGTCTGGTGTACAGGTGTGGTGTACAGGTGTGGTGTACAGGTGTGGTGTACAGGTGTGTTGTGCAGGTGTGTTGTACAGACGTGGTGTACAGGTGTACAGGTGTGGTGTACAAGTGATGTGTGGGTGTGGTGTACAGGTGTGGTGTAAAGGCATGGTGTACAACTGTGATGTACACTTGTGGCGTACAATACCGTACCTCATAAAACTGTATCTTGCCGTAGCTGCTTTTGTTGATGACCTCGTTGAACTTGTGGTAGGAGGTCTCCTTTGTCCCTACCGGTGCCTCATCCGTCTGTTTCTTGATGCGGGGGAGGAACACGTTCTTGGTGGTCCTGTCAGGGAGGGTTAAGGCTGCTCTTAAAGGTGATGACTTGACAGAATCTTACTGAGGTTTTCTTGTTTTATTTACCCCCTTTAGGCTTTTAGCTCCAGCTACTTACGACTGCACCACTAGCTTCCTCCAGCTACCACCAACTACCAACAGCTACCAACAGCTATAACCAATTACAACCAGCTACCACCAGCTACCACCATATACGACCAGCTACGTACAACTGCACCAACAGCTTTCACCAGCTACCACCGGCTATCACCGGCTACTACCAGCAACTTACAGCTGCACCACCAGCTACCACCAGCTACCACCAGCTTCTAACAGCTCCTTACGACTGCACAACAGCAACAACCAGCTACTACCAGCTACCATCAACTACCACCAGCTAGCACCACCAACTTACAACTGCACCACCAAATACCACCAACTACCACCAACTACCACCAACTACCTCCAGCTACCACCAACTACCACCAACTACCAACAGCTACCACCAGCTACCACCAGCTACCAACAGCTACTACCAGCTACCACCACCAACTTACGACTGCACCACTAGCTACCACCAGCTACCACCAGCTACCACCAACTACCACCAACTACCACCAGCTACCACCAACCACCACCAACTACCACCAGCTACCACCAGCTACAACCAAGTACCACCACCAACTTACGACTACACCACCAGCTACCACCAACTACCACCAGCTACCAACAGCTAACAACAACCACCACCAGCTACCACCAGCTACCACCAGCTACCACCAGCTACACCAGCTACCACCAGCCACCACCAACCACCACCAGCTACCACCAACTACCATCAACCACCACCAGCTACCACCAACTACAACCAACTACCACCACCAACTTACAACTGCACAACCAACTACCACCAACTACAACCAATTACCACCAGCTACCACCAGCTACCACCAACCACCACCAGCTACCACCAACCACCACCAACTACCACCACCAACTTACGACTGCACCACCGAGCCCCTGTGCTGTTGCTTGCCGTCCTTCTCCCAGGGCAGGATGCGGAGGGGCCTGTTGAGGTTGTTGAGGATGTAGTCGCTCTGTAGCAGGCTGTAGGCAACCAGGCACTTGTCGGGTAATTGCCGGTCTCTCTTGGACCCGTACAGGAGGGCTGGAACACACCATGGCGTGTCAGTGACATGGTGTGTCAGTGACATATGTCAGTGACATGGTGTGACAATTACATGTTGTGTCAATGACATGATGTGTCAGTGATTTGTTTTTTCAGTGTTAGTGACATGGTGTGTCAGGGACATGGTGTGTCAGTACATATCAATGACATGGTGTGTCCGTGATTTGTTTTGTCAGTGACATGTGTCATTGACATGGTGTGTTACTGACATGGTGTGTCAGTGACATGGTGTCTCAGTGACATGGTGTGTCAGTGTCATGGTGTGTCAATGACATGGTGTGTCAGTGATTTGTTTTGTCAGTGACATGATGTGTCTGTGATTTATTTTGTCAGTTTCATGCTGTGTCAGTGATATGGTGTGTCAAGATGGGCAATGAGAGGCAAACCTTGTATGTGTGGCGGCAAGTCACTTGTTTTAGGCACCAGACTCGCCCTCTCGGCTGCCGCGTTGTCTGTGTCTGACGTCACAACTATGGGCTCCATCTTCAGGTGGATTTTACAACATCCGATACACCTGGGATGTATTAAGTGGGGGTGGGGTGGGGGGAGTTTAAGGGCGTAAATCAGATGGTTTGATTTTAAAATATAATTTACCTAAGATATATTTCGGGAATGGGCTTAGTCTATGGGCTTTTTTTCTGTGGCTTAAGTTGGGCACGTCAAACACGTGACAAATATGGGGCTTAGATCAGGGCTTACATGTTAGGGTTAGATCAGAGGCTATGTTTAGGTCTTTTATCATAGGCTTAATTCATGGGCTTAGTTTAAGGTCTTATATCGTGAGTTTATTTCACTGACTTAAATCATCAGCATAGTTCACGGGCTTCGTTCATGGGCTTAGTTCATGGGCTCAGTTTAGTAGGTCTTGTTTCATGAGTTTATGTCAGAACCTTAGAGGATGGGCTTAGTTTTGGGGTTTAGATCACGGGGCTTAGGTTAGGGGCTTACATCATGGAATCAATGCGGAGTTTTAGCAGCTTAGATTAGTATTTCAAGTCGGCTTAACAAAATCTTAGATCTAAGGTTTAGTTCGTCTAAGTACTAGATCTAGGTTAATTTAAAAACACTGTTTTAACAAAAGCACGATAAATTCTCGTACTGACTTCACAATGTTAAGAACTTAGAACAAAAGTTACCAGAAACAGTTCTCGCAATGATTTTATGTCCGCAAAGGATCATCTAATTCTGGTAACGTCATAATCACCCAAGTTTCTTTCGGTGCGATTTAACATTTCCTCGTCCCCATAAAGTGAAATATGTCTATTGGCGCACCATGGTGCTACGCGGTGCGCGGCGCAATGAATAGTCATTCTTCAGTTGGTACTGGGTGTAGCTTTTTTTTCTTTTTCACTAACATCTAAAAAATTACATCTAAAATTCCGAAACGATTATATAATTTTAAAAAAGTTTTTCAAAACATTATTTATTTTAAAAAAGACAAAACTGTACAAGTGTTGCGTCGTGTCGTGCAGATCAGTGCCAAAAGCTGCGCACTAAAACAACTGCGCACATTTGAACCTGCTTTCAACCGGAAGTGGGTCGCAACAAATGGAGACCATCCAGACAGCCCCAGGCGCTGTTTATAAGGTAAAATTTTCTACCTGCGTCAAATGACGCGCATCTTCTCCGTCCTCATCTTTTGATGGCTTTAAGTTTAATGTAAAGTCTAACGATTTATTAAGCTATTAAATTTTAATAGCTTAAGTTATACGAACCGAATGCGAAGGTCTTTTATTTTATATGGTCTACTTTCGCTTTCGATATAACTAACCAAGTTCTTCTTTATACATTATTCTGTATTCATTACATTACATTTATAATATTTAGACTTTTTAGATATTTAGCGAAGTTTATTTTTTATTTTATATACAAATGTGTGAAAATAGTATTAAAACTAATATGCCTCACTGTAAAGTAGGCCTACCTCTTCAGGCCAGAATATCCTTAGGGCAGACGAAGTAGAGTACATCTGTTTCTCTGAGCTATGCCTGTGTGATGAGTCGTGTACATCATCTTGACTTTATCAGACAAGAGCCAAGTACGGTTTAGAGCTGGGTTGGCTCGGGGTTGTCCTCCACTCCAAACTTGGATCCGAACTCGAGACTTCAGATTTAAGGCTTAAATGTATCATCGAAAACACTATATTTATCCAAATAGCTTGACTTATATCACGTTATGGACGAACTTAGCCAATTATTTTATCAGATTTCGTAGTTACTGCCGTATTTAACTTGCTGTTAAATGCAAACTCATTCTTGTACTCTTTGTGTGTCAACACTCATATGTATATATATATATATATATATATATATATATATATATATATATATATATATATATATATATATATAATATATATATATATATATATATATATATATATATATATATATGTAGAAAAAAACGCCTTGAAATTACTGAGCGTTATCTATCTATAATTCCACTACCCAACAAAAGAAAATTTCTCTCCCCGTTTCCTCAGATCAACCATGAACAGCAAACATTTCCGGAACCACCAGCCTGCGGTGCCAGCAAAACACCACATGAAGTTGCCGAAAATTTCCAAACTGCCCGGGCAAATCACCAGCCATCAGACGTCATCGAGCGGCTGGGCGGGGCAGGCAGACGACACGAGGAGTAAGACCAGCGAGGATGGGGACGATGATGTCGTCGATGTCACCAAGAACAAGAGCATCTTGAAGCATACAGAATACCATGGGCCGGTTTATAAGCCAGGGGCCAGGGTCGTGGGGAATGGAAGAGGAGGGAGGAAAGTTCCAAGTGAGTTGTGTTCTCTTGCTTGTTGTTGTTTTTTGTGAGTTATGTCCCCTATTTTTTTTTGCTTTGTATTTACTAGTGTATGCAGTCAAGATATTCAACTAGTTAATATTTAGTAAAAATCAACTCTACGTTGAGTTATATAAGCTTAGTAAGAATACGTTTAGTGTCTATTTTTACAACTGTTTTCTTGGTTAAAAAAATAAAAAGTAGTGAAGTATAGTCATTTTTTCTAGTTACTTAAAAAAGTTGTGTTGTTATTTTAATAGATGTGGGATATTAATAATGAATAAACCACTGTTTCTGGGACGGAGTGGTCTAGCGGTAGAGAGCTGGACTCCGTAAGTCTCGAGTTCGAATCCGGGTTCAAGTCAGTAGACCGTCCCTGATTCCACCAAACTCTGATGGGGTACATAACCCACGTTAGGGAAAGTAAAGGCGGCTGGGCATAGTGCTGACCACATTATCTCTTTACATGCCGAGGTAACAGAAACAAGTGAATATACCAGGGAAATTGTTTTAATTTATAATTCTTATAATTTTTTTTTTACTTACGTGTCGTGGATAGTTCGTGTTTACTAACTTTATATGTAAGTTGTTAGCCTAACATGACAGTCCCGAGTTCAGTTGACGGACCCCCGGGCAGAAACCGTCAACAACATGACCTACGATAAAATACCATCCCTGAAATAAATTATATAAAACCTAAATTAAAATAAACTTTTTTCGTTTCACTGTATATATTCCATATTTTTTTTATTTAAGCGTAAAAAAAACAATATTTAATTAAAAAAAAAAAAGCTTATAGTAGAGTTTAAATCCTAAAAAAAAAATTCACAATATTTCGGGCTATAGCCCATTTATGGGATTAGGATTAGGGTTAATGTCTGAGATAAGGTTGGAGATTAAGTTAGGGATAGAAAAACAGCGTGGGGGTAGCGAAATGTTTGTGAAACATGTAGCTGAGACAGTAACAGTTCCATCAAGTTATAGAAGTTTTGTGAAAGACATTGGTACGTTACTCTAGGGAAGGGCGTGGTCAGGGAGAAGAGTGTATGACTGGTGTTCCAAAATTCTTAAGTTCGGACTCACGAGCTGATGAGGTTAGGAAATTGGGGACTGCAACCCATCTAGGAGAGGCAACTCCAAAATCAAAACAATTCCTGCTTTGTATTGTGTTTTTGGGATGGAAAAAAGCTATGAAAGTAAATCCAGGAAGAAAAGCAGGCTGAAGTTTTAGGCCAAACGGCGCCAGAGTTTCTTTCAGGCATCTCTTCCGCCCCCTCCCTCCCCGGAACGACCTGGAATTTATATAGAAAACATATACTTTTTCCAGTGTCCGCCCCCCCCCCCATCCGGAAAATGTTGACCGCCCCCCCCCCCCCCCAAATATCAAGTGCCCCCCCCCCCCCCCCGGAGAAAAAAGTCTGGAAGAAACACTGAACGGTGCATAATATGTTATCACTAAATACGTAGTTATGTTAGTTAAGAGCCAAGAAGAAGAAGAAGAAGAAGGTTGATGTCGCTTGTTGAGTTTCTTTTCGCATGATGGCGGGGTGATTGCAAATATCAAACTATGTGTGGGGCCGGCGTGGTCGAGTCGGCAAAAGCTCGATCCCTTCCAACACTTAAAATTAAGAACGAAGAAGAAGAAGAAGAAAATATGTGTCTCAGAGGGCTATATTTTTTTTTCTATAGATGAGGAATCTGAATTTGACAGGAGGATAACCATGGTAGTCGATCAAAAAATGGTTCTGAAAAAGAAGGTAAAAACACAGTTCGATACGTTGGGTGAAACAAGTAAAATATTAGAATCGATTCCTAGAGGTGAGTTGTGTCGATACCATGTTTGTGTACAGACATCGCATGGCCCAATCAATATTTAATCACCACACAAACAGATAATTATTCATTATTTAAACATAACTCAATCTATATTTAATCAATACCAAATCATCATATCAATAATAGGTCTAGTTTAACTTTAATTTACAATGATCATTATTTGACATTAGTCATCGCCCAACCAATCAGCGCTTAGATAATTCTGTCTCAGCTGGCTCGGCTATATACGCTCAAACTCACGGCGCGTCTAACATGTGTTGCCTTGTTGGTGACCTACGTATCGGTCAAGGCCATATTTGTTGGTGACCTACGTATGTCAAGGCCATATTTGTTGGTGACCTACGTATGTCAAGGCCATATTTGTTGATGACCTACGTATGTCAAGGTCAGATTTGTTGGTGACCTACGTATGTCAAGGCCATATTTGTTGGTGACCTACGTATGTCATGGCCATATTTGTTGATGACCTACGTATGTCAAGGTCAGATTTGTTGGTGACCTACGTATGTCAAGGCCATATTTGTTGGTGACCTACGTATGTCAAGGCCATATGTGTTGTTGACCTACGTATTGGTCAAGGCCAGATCTGTTAGTGACCTACGTATGTCAAGGCCAGACTTGTTGCTGACCTTCGTGTCACATCCAGATTATCTGATAACCTATGCGATAATCTTTAAGTGACCTTTAAAAAAAAATTCCGTAAAATTTACTTTAATAACTCACGTAAAACCCTACCTACATTATAATGTCATATCATGCTTGACTGCTCTCTGTAGGTGAAACGGTGCTGTGTAGCAAGATAGAGATTGACCAGGTATGTATATCAGACCAGTTCTTTCATTAAGCAGACTGTTGTTTCAATGGTCCTTTGTGAGAAAACCTTGCTATTCTCCTGTCTCAGTATTGTTGTCTTCGTTCAGATGTCTTTATCTACCTGTCTGAACTGATATTGATGTCTTAGTTCTGTCTTTATCTACCTGTCTTAACTGATATTGATGTCTTATTTCAGAATGTCTTTATCTACCTGTCTTAACTGATATTGATGTCTTAGTTCAGATGTCTTTATCTACCTGTCTTAACTGATATTGATGTCTTATTTCAGATGTCTTTATCTACCTGTCTTAACTAATATTGATGTCTTAGTTCAGATGTCTTTATCTACCTGTCTTAACTGATATTGATGTCTTATTTCAGATGTTTTTATCTATGTCTTAACTTATACTGATGTCTTAGTTCAGATGTCTTTATCTACCTGTATGAACTAAAATTGATGTCTTAGTTCAGATGTTTTTATCTATATCTTAACTTATACTGATGTCTTAGTTCAGATGTCTTTATCTACCTGTATGAACTAAAATTGATGTCTTAGTTCAGATGTCTTTATCTACCTGTCTTAACTAATATTGATGTCTTAGTTCAGATGTGTTTATCTATCTGTCTTAATTTATATCGATGTCTTAGTTCAGATGTCTTTATCTACCTGTCTGAACTGCTATTGATGTCTTAGTGATGTTGTCTTGTCTAACTGTCTCAACTGATACTGATGTCTTAGTGCTGATGTCTTTATCTACCTGTCTTAACTTATATTGATGTCTTAGTGCTGATGTCTTGTCTAACTGTCTCAACTGATACTGATGTCTTAGTGCTGATGTCTTGTCTAACTGTCTCAACTGATACTGATGTCTTAGTGCTGATGTCTTGTCTAACTGTCTCAACTGATACTGATGTCTTAGTGCTGATGTCTTGTCTAACTGTCTCAACTGATACTGATGTCTTAGTGCTGATGTCTTGTCTAACTGTCTGTAGCTGGACCTGGAACATCGTCTGTTGATAAGGGAGGTAGAGCAGATGAGGAAGTACAACGAGATCCGGTTCGAAGCTTTGTTGGAGAAGAGGGTCGCGTATCTCAACTCGATCAAATTGTGAGTTCAGCTGTGGTTTTACAAGGTGTGGTTTACAAGCATTGGTTTTATAAGGTGTGGTTTTATAAGGTGTGGTTTTATAAGGTGTGGTTTTACAAGGTGTGGTTTTACAGGGTGTGGTTTTACAAGCTGTGGTTTTACATGGTGTGGTTTTATAAGGTGTGGTTTTACAAGGTGTGGTTTTATAAGGTGTTGTTTTATAAGGTGTGGTTTACAAGGTGTGGTTTTACAAGGTGTGGTTTTTAAAAGGTGTGGTTTTACAAGGTGTGGTTATACGAGGTGTGGTTTTACAAGTTGTTGTTTTACTACTTGTGTTTTCTGGTCTTTTAGGCTATGCGGATTTGTGGTTTGTTTGGATTTGTGGTGTATTGACATGTTGCTGGGTGGACTTGTGGTTTGTGGATGTATGGGCTGTATGGATTTGTGATTTGTGGATGTGTGGTTTTGTGGCTGTGTGGGTATGCAGGACTCGAACTTGTGACTTTCAGCTTATCACCTCCTCGACTAACACTCGCCTACTCCCAATGACGTCACAAGATGAAAGAACGTGTATGCGGTCCGTACATTGTCACACCATTCAGGATGGGGGGGGGGGGGGGTAAAACAAAGACGAGAAATCTTATTTTACCGTCAAAACAATGATTTACCCTGATAAGACAACAAAATTGTAGGATGGGAGGGGAGACACCTAATCCAAAATGTAAACCTATTACTGTTGGAGTGGGGGTGATAGCGTCATTTACAGCACATGGTGACGCGAGTCCTATTGACGCCACTGCCTACGCCTCTGACAAAAAACTCTCTACGCCACTGCCTTCTCCTAATTACGTCATTCTATTTCAGGTTCAATAATTTCATCACGGACATGGAGAAGAGGCACTCGAAGGCCCAGGATCAAATCCAGAAACTGCAAGCAGAGCGGAAGGAAATGACGCACTTAAAACCGAAGCTGTTATATGAGATTTGTGTGTTGAAAGAAGTAAGGCCCTGACTCACCGTTTTTACATTTTTATTCATGTAGTGCAGGGGTCTCCAAACTACGGCCCACGGGCCGGATGCGGCCCGTGAAGTCCTCTCGTCCGGCCCGCGGAGATCTTTTTCTCCAAGGAAAAATCGTTTGTCGGTGATTGCTGAGGAACTTTGCCCAGAAAAATCAAAGACATGCGTGGAAGAAACTGGCCCCCGAACTAAAATTTGATAGTTAATGCGGCCCTCGGACTGAAAAGTTTGGAGACCCCTGAATTGTAGTGTGTCAGAAAATATTTTATACCGTCCCCTAATTTGGGGGTCAGAAAATATTTTATACGTTCCCCTAATTTGGGGGGCAGTAAATATTTTATACGTTCGCCTAATTTGGGGGTCAGTAAATATTTATAACTTCGTGTTAGAGTTAGGGTGCCGGTTCAATTCTTCCTCTTCTTAATACCGTTAATGCCCAAGACGCATGGGGCAGATGAAGTAGAATTCATCTGATTCATAGACCTCGACATATGAAGGGATAGTGTCGTCATCACTATGTCCAGCCAGCTTTGTTTTCCTAATGTAAGTTAGGTACCCGTCAGAGCTGGGTGGACTCAGGGACGTTGAACTGATTTGAACCCAGATTTGAACGGGAGATTCTCGGGTTAGTAGTCTAGCTCTCTACCGCTAGGCCACGCCACCGTTTCAATTAGGTGGACGAAATTTCATGTATCAAATCCTATACGTACGTTATGTTCCACTTTTAAACGGTTTTCGGTAACCGGAAGTGTTTTTTTATCACGTAAATCTCTTGAAATCATTAGGTTTATATCGTATCCTCTTTTGACTTTTTCGCTACAGTTTGTTTCTGGAAAAACTAGTTGTTTGTTACAAGCTTTTATTACACTCACTTCCTCGTCCGTCTGTCTAGATCGAAACGCCCGTGAAATTCCAGGCACTTCTAACTGACAGATACGGTTCGTAGTTGGTACATGGGTCAACACATTAAGACAATGCATCGTGACATTCAATTTGACTCAATTTGTCGCCTAATTAATTTTTTATGAATTAATTACAATTTGTTTACCTACGTGCGTCCTAGGCCCATTTTCACTGGCAGCGTTATCGCTGCCCCCGCTGTGTTGTATATGAATATACGAGGCATTTTAGGGGAGATCACTCTCGCTCTATTAGAGTGGTTTTCAGCCGATCCTACACTGTTCTCGGCGACGCTGTCGTTGAGCTGAACATCGATGGTGTCGTTATAGAATTAGCCTATAGTTTTTTTCTCATTTGATACTGTCGTTGGGGGCTTTAATTTTAGTTACAACCGAAATCTTAATAAAAACAGTTTGAAAAAAAACTTTTTTCTCTTAAGTAGTGTGATTCTCAAAATGTTTTTTAATCTAATTTTTCGTAGCATTAAATGGCGTTGTGATTTTGGGGGTTGGGTGGGAGGGAAAAATAGCGTTTTATTTAGACATGTCTAACATTACAAGAGGTAGTTCTCTACAAAAAAATGTTATATAGAGTCACATACAGCAAAAGGTGGGTCGAAAATGTTTGTAGTATATGTGCGTAATACCAACCATGTTTCAACATCTTTCTGTTGGTGTTCCCTGCCTGCGTCAGTAAGAGTCAGCAGGTTGTCAGGTTTTAATTTAACCATCTCTCTTTTAATTTAACCATCTTTCTTTTAATTTAACCATCTCTCTTTTAATTTAACCATCTCTCTTTTAATTTAACCATCTCTCTTTTAATTTAACCATCTCTCTTTTAATTTAACCATCTCTCTTTTAATTTAACCATCTTTCTTTTAATTTAACCATCTCTCTTTTAATTTAACCATCTTTCTTTTAATTTAACCATCTCTCTGTTGCCTGTTTTCCCCCAGCTAGAAGCCAGCATGTTGCCAGGTTTTAATTTAACCATCTCTCTTTTAATTTAACCATCTCTCTTTTAATTTAACCCTCTCTCTTTTAATCTAACCATCTCTCTTTTAATTTAACCATCTCTCTTTTAATTTAACCATCTTTCTTTTAATTTAACCATCTCTCTGTTGCCTGTTTTCCCCCAGCTAGAAGCCAGCATGTTGCCAGGTTTTAATTTAACCATCTCTCTTTTAATTTAACCATCTCTCTTTTAATTTAACCCTCTCTCTTTTAATCTAACCATCTCTCTTTTAATTTAACCATCTCTCTTTTAATTTAACCATCTCTCTTTTAATTTAACCATCTCTCTGTTGCCTGTTTTCCCCCCAGCGAGAGGCCAGCAAGAGTCGGCAGGTTACCCAGTGTATTCCTATCGGCAAGTTTTTTGATGCGGTCATCGCGTCCTTCGGCTCGTGCTTCAGATCGTCCGTGCATGTACTCACCCGACACGCCGCTCTCAAGTCCAACGTTGAGTGAGTACGTCCCCTCCTCTGTTCAGTGTTTCTTCCAGACTTTTTTCTCTGGGGGGCATTTGATATTTTCGGGGGGGGGGGGGTCAACATTTTCCGGGGGGGGGGGGGGGGGCGGACACTAGTAAAAGTATATGTTTACTATATAAATTCCATCTCGTTCGGGGGCGGGAGCGGTAGACTTTCTTTGGGGGGAAGGGGCGGGCCCACAATCGTTCCTAGCGACGGGTTTTCGTATAACGAGGTATCTCGGGGTGTTCGTTAAAAGGAGACTTCGTCAAGTGGAGACTTCTTAAAGTGGTCGTCAAGGGTGAAGTTACAGATGTGTTCGTAAAACGGGACCCCGTAATAACACATTTGTAATTTGGTATTGGGAGTTCGTAACTCGAAACAGCAAAATAATTCAGTGACTGTAAAACTAGACTTCTCGATCTAATGATAAAAAAGTGGTGGTGGGGGGGGGGGGGGATTAACGAGGTATTCGTAAAACATAACTTCGTGTAGATTTACAATATACTATGTTTCTCACCCCAAAAGTCCATAGACATGATTAGCCTTTTTAACTCTATCGCGAAGCGTGGAGCATTTTAGCAATAATATAAATGTGCAGCTGTTTAAACCAAGTGACGGAACCCGCTTTCAAATTAAAACTAACAAGAACAACATCTGTTGTTATATAGCTTCCACCTCCAACATCTTTTAACCTCAGGGGTAGTTGTACTATAAAAATTACCTTTTTGTTTCCAAATAAAGACTCGTTGCCCAAATATTTACAATGATTCTTGTGACGTTATAGCCCTAATATTTTATAACTCGTTAGTGTCAGTTCGTAACTCGAGGCAGGATACTATTTCAGTTTTCTTTTAATATATATTGCAACATTTACTGACTTATAGTTTACTTCTTCCTTATTCATCTCACAACACATCACAAGGCCGTCCGTAACTCGGTCTATAGCGTTCGTAACTCGAAGCAAACTTTTGTATTTCATTTTATTTTTAAATTTAATTTATAGTATAATTAGACTGATCTATTATTATCATAATTATATTTTTTATTTTTCCTGACTTCCCTCCCTCCCTCTTTTCATATCTCCCCCACACTAAACTCCCTCACCCTACCTCTCCCCCACACTAAACTCCCTCACCCTACCTCTCCCCCCACACTAAACTCCCTCACCCTACCTCTCCCCCACACTAAACTCCCTCACCCAACCTATCCCCCACACTAAACCCCATCACCCTACCTCTCCCCCACACTAAACTCCCCCACAAAGATCACAGATCATGCGCTATGATAGTGTACTGGGTGACCTAGAACAGGCCCACGCCCATCTTGACCAACTGTTTCTGGACTCGATAGAAACTTTCAGGCAGATGACCAACAAGTTGGCGGAGCTCAAGAGGGTAAGGAACTCAAACTTTAGGCGCCCCTATACCTAACCAACGTCAGGCGCCCTATACCTAACCAACGTCAGGCGCCCCTATACCTAACCAACGTCAGGCGCCACTATACCTAACCAACGTCAGGCGCCCTATACCTAACCAACGTCAGGCGCCCTATACCTAACCAACGTCAGGCGCCCCTATACCTAACCAACGTCAGGCGCCACTATACCTAACCAACGTCAGGCGCCCTATACCTAACCAACATCAGGCGCCCCTATACCTAACCAACGTCAGGCGCCCTATAGCTAACCAACGTCAGGCGCCCCTTGTCTAACAGCATCCACACCTATGTTATACAATTTACAAGTTCCATTAATGTATCTGCAGTCGATATATATTTACACACACACACACACACACACACACATATATATATATATATATATATATATATATATATATATATATATATATATATAAAATATATCACCAGTATTTTTCCTGTCATAAGTATTGACATGAACCCATTCTGACCAGACGATCCATGTATCCCCCGACTAGACTAACGTCTTGCGTTGTCTCCCCACACTAGACTAACCTGTCTTACCGTCTCCCCACACTAGACTAACCTGTCTTACCGTCTCCCCACACTAGACTAACCTGTCTTACCGTCTCCCCACACTAGACTAACCTGTCTTACCGTCTCCCCACACTAGACTAACCTGTCTTACCGTCTCCCCACACTAGACTAACCTGTCTTACCGTCTCCCCACACTAGACTAACCTGTCTTACCGTCTCCCCACACTAGACTAACCTGTCTTACCGTCTCCCCACACTAGACTAACCTGTCTTACCGTCTCCCCACAGGACCTACGTAACGTGCAGGTAGAGAACACCCAGCTCGCCATCACGTACGAGTCTCTGATCGTGCGAGAGGCAGAGGAGGAGAAGGAAAGGCTGGGAGTGTACTCCGCCATACACAACATGGCACATACCTTGTCTGTAAGTCGGTGCTGATTGGTTGGTTCAAACTCACGTGGTGGGTATAAGCGCACAACCATTGGTCGGTTTAAACTTCATCTTTCTATGTGGTCTAACCCCCAAATGGACAAACCCTCCATGGTCAAACCCGTATGGTCAAACTCATGTGCTCAAACACCCTATGGTCAAACCCCCTATGGTCTAACCCTTAAGGTCGAATCCCCTAAGGTCAAACCCCTTATGGTTACTCGTATGGTTAAATCGCCTATGATCAAATCGTCTATGATCTAATCGTCTATGATCAAACCCCCTATCTTCCAACCCCTATGGTCAAACCTCTATGGTCGAACCCCCATCGTCAAACCCCTTATGGTCAAACCGCCCTTTTTTGAAGTCTGTGACACTCTATTTATTGCGGGTGAAAAAACACAGTTGTCCAAATGGGGTGGGTGGGTACACACTGTTGCGCATGTCTGGAGCGCGAGGGAGGAGGGTTAGAGTGTCGGCGTGCGTGCGTGGTGTCCTGCATATATATATATATATATATATATATATATATATATATATATATATATATATATATATATATATATACATGCATATATATATATATATATATATATATATATATATATATATATATATATATATATATACATACATATATATATATATATATATATATATATATATATATATATATATATATATATATATATATATATATATATATATATATATATGTATATATAAATGTATATATATATATATATATATATATATATATATATATATATGCATGTATATATATATATATATATATATATATATATATATATATATATATGCATGTATATATATATATATATATATATATATATATATATATATATATATATATATATATATATATATATATATATATATATATATATATATATATATATATATATATATATATATATATATATATATATATATATATATATATATATATATATATATAATAGCCGTCGATACCCGTTGCACGTGAATTACAGGCTTATTTATTTTTAATTTGAAACGTGTTTGAGAAAAATATTTTATAAAATAGTTATTGGTCAAAACGCAATGTGCTTTACTACACGTTGAACAATGCTAGTGACCATGCAGAGAAATAACTAAATAGCTAAAAGTCCGACACATTTAAAATAACATAGTCTACCAATACCTATTAGAAATATTAAAACCAAATTATAGGCTATATATTATTAGTCAACGGAACATCATATTAAATCCACACACTGATTTAGAGACTTAAATGATTCCGCTAAAAACCCGGCTATTCAATGGTTATTTTGTTGTTTTTTTAAGTAATTTGTATTAGCTTGACCGAGAAAATTGTATATATTTCATAGCGTAGGTCTTAATACTTAGATTTATAGAATCTAGATCTAAATCAAATTTGAATGAAATAGCCGACTCCGATTTTTTATATTCTAAAATCGGAAGATGACGCCATTAGTGTTGTGTTGTTTCCATAGTGTAAATATGTGGTATTTGACTTCATTGTTTAATGCGTACTTGTCACAACTATAAACACTTTTCTGGTTGTATAATTAAAATTGTGTTTCAACATTCGAATATGCCTTTATTTATTTATGTTTGTTCTCTAAATCAAATTTAGGTTATACATTTAAAACATCTACCATATTATTTTCAACATAAACCCGTATCAAGTTCTCCATATATCGCTGAAAATTCTGATGGGATACCCTGCGAAAATATTTTGTGGACAGAGAAAGAGAAATGCGCACATGGGCTTTTATATATTAGGATAGAGAGAGAGATGGGGAAAACTGTCTAGTAATACGTGCAATTTAGACATATGAGAGAGGTTAGGGAAAAAACTACCACAGAATATATATATATATATATATATATATATATATATATATATATATATATATATGTCCTGCAGGAGTTCCGGGATTATGCCGGGTTTAGATTACAGAAGCACAAGACGGCCGCGGCCAAGCTGAAGGAGATAGGGGAGATAATCCTCTTCTACGACTGTCTGCTGGCCGAGCTCAAGCTGGAGATAGAGACACGTCCTCGCGTGCCCAGGAAGAAGGCTCCCAAGAACGTCCAACCCACCGTCAAGCTCAGCGGTGAAACGGTTACAACGGTCGTGTCGGATCCAGGTAACAGCCGTGTTGTTGTGTTACATTCGTGTGGTGGTTGTGTTTGAATGTCAAGTTGTGTTAAGTTGTGCCAAGTTGTGTCAAGTTGTGTCAAGTTGTGTCAAGTTGTGTCCAGTTGTGTCAAGTTGAGTCCAGTTGTGTCAAGTAGTGTCAAGTTGTGTCAAGTTGTGTCCAGTTGTGTCAAGTTGTGTCAAGTTGTGTCAAGTTGTGTCAAGTTGAGTCCAGTTGTGTCAAGTAGTGTCAAGTTGTGTCAAGTTGTGTCCAGTTGTGTCAAGTTGTGTCAAGTTGTGTCAAGTTGTGTCAAGTTGTGTCAAGGTGTGTCAAGGTGTGTCCAGTTGTGTCAAGTTGTGTCTAGTTGTGTCACGTTTTCTCAAGTTGTCTCAAGTTGTGTCCAGTTGTGTCCAGTTGTGTCATTTAATTGTCTCAAGTTGTGTCAAGTTGTGTCCAGTTGTGTTAAGTTGTCTCAATTTGTGTCAAGTTATGTTAAGTTGTGTCCAGTTGTGTCCGGTTGTGTCGTTTAATTGTGTCAAGTTGCGTCAAATTGTGTCAAGTTTTGTTAAGTTGATTTATCTTTTGCTCACACTGACCCTATGCGATTCTATTAACATCTAGCATCTTGACATTTGTTTCCATCTAACAGTTTTGAAGAATATCGAACTTCTGCAAAACCGAGCAGAAGATTGATGCCGCGGTCACGTGTGGATGAAAACAGACATGATTGGATGAAAATGGATACAGATGCGATTATTGGATGAAAATGGATTGAGACTGGATGAAAATGCAGAGATTGGATGAAAATGGACAGAGATACGGTTTTTGGATGAAAATGATGGATAACAAACAGTTTGATGTGTCAGGCAACTAGAGGCCTCAACAAATTGCTGGATAGAATCGATTCCAACATTTATCGATTACAATGAAGGTTTCAAAAGATATTCTAGAACCTACACAGCGACCATCCCATGTATCACAAGCCCTAGGTTTACATGGATATGTTCATTATAGCACCACATTAAGGCTCATGTTCTATACAAGCTACATCGTTACTGATTACATCTAACTCTTACATCGCATACATATATCTCTAGACAACAAATTGTTACATCTCAAAATAACACATAACTGTACCTAAGTTTTTTTTAAAATTACTTACACTAATTACATCAGTAATGTTAACATGATATTTTGCTTACATCAGCTTTATCTACCTCTTGGTATATCTGTATCAAAGTTTATCTTAGATATTAATGTTACTCATTTTGTTGACATCACTTTTCTTTCGATATAACTACATTATGAGCTGTAATATGTCTACTGCTTACAATTACATGTTTATATAATTTAGCACAAATTTCAACACTGCTAAACTTGCATGTTACATCTTCGGTGATTACATTTGCTGCATTACATATACTGTTACTTTAGAAGTTCTAGACAACCTATGGTCTTGTGGTTTCAAGGAGTCTCAATTTCTTCATTAGCATCCTAACTCTACAACGTAAATCTTATGTTGGTGACTTCTAAACCATCTATGGTTTCATTGGGTCTCAACTCATCGCTAAGCATCAACCCCTACAACTTCCTGATTATGTTGGTGTATTCTGACCCACAAATCTTCCGTCCAACTTAGTCTTGACACCGTAGGAATTCCTGCGGTGTAACTGACAAAACGTACATAACAAAAAAACAATCTTGCTTCGTCTGGTTTTGAACCTGTTCCCTGGCTGTTTTGACCAATACGAGGCGAGTTCAAAAGTTCAACCTCCTGCTTCGATGTGAGTACATCTGCCCTAATCAAAACACGTGATCGCTACGACATCACCAGTTTGACACGAACGACAAATAAACGATAATATTTCACGTCATCAGCATGAAGAAAAACACCGCAATGACCAAACACACAACTCACAAAACTCAATGCTAGAACATGAATTACACGACATCGGCAGTAGCGGGTTTTGATCTCAAATATTGTCAAGTATTCCAACAGATCTTAATTTGAAAAACAAGACCTAACACACACGTATGAAGCTGAGAGAAAGCCTGGCCAATGTTGTATTTGATAACAAACTTCAATTTGGGAAACATTTTGAAAATAAAAAAAATAAATATGTATCGTGTAGAAAGTTTCTTGCGTGTGTTTTGTATTGCGTTTCCCAGAAAAAATGTGCAAATAGAAAACTCCGCAAACGGAAAAATGCGCCAACATAAACTAATTATACTAATACACTTTAAGTTTATCGTATTTCGTAGAGAAGTGTTTTATTAATGCTACACTGTCATTCTTTGTTAATGTCTTTAAGTGCTCATACAATGCTCTTGCGCACTTTTACATGCAGTTTTCCGTTATAGTTTTCCGCTGCGCAATTTTCCGGTCATCTTGTATACGGCTACTTGTTGGTCCTTTTATCTCCGGAGTCTATGCAAGACAATGGATGTTCACTCAGAGGTGAAATCCCCTCGACGCGTACCAGAGCAATTGATGTATTGTCAGTGTATAGAGATCCCTCTCCCAATCCTCACCGATACAGACCAACAAAATACGAAGCATTAGGGCCTACGTTATTAAAGGCTTGGTGGGACTGGAGAGTAGTGTTTTTTTCCAAACTTTTTAATGAAACATTGGGAGGGTGTTTAGAATACTCCAGAAAAACCTCAAGTAACAGTGAAATTACCTACCCCACCCCCACTCACGAGAAGCTGTGCCTCCAGATTTTAAGAGAAGCCAGAAAGAAATATTCTGACTCAAGAAAAGTTTTCTGCCATTAATTTTTATTAAATTTCCTTTGGAGGGCCATTAAGGTGGTTCGGATGCGCAGATTAGAATAATTCTACCGATGGCACACATTGAATTTGTTACATTTTCACCGCAGGTAACAATAACGTCAATAAAGATGATCAAGAGATCTGACTGTTCGTCTGTCCGTCTGTCTGCTTGTCTGTCTGTCTGTCTGTCTGTCTTTCTGTCTTTCTGTCTGTCTCTCTCTCTCTCTGTCTGTCTGTCTGTCTGTCTCTCTCTCTCTCTCTCATGTTAGCTGGCTGCCTTTTTGCGAAGATTTTTACGTTTCATAACCGATAAACATCTTTAAAAATGCATTAGTTTGAAACAAAAACAACACAGTCGCAAAAATTTGAATAATCGTATTAAAATTGTGACAGAATACATGACAATGTGACGGAGTCGTTATGACGTCTTCTACATACTAAACAATACTTTGTGACACTAAAACTGGTTGTGGGGGATAGATTCTGATTATGGTAAAACAATAAACTTCTAAATAAATTGTAAGATTTAATTGTTTTGTTTTTTATGAGGCGAGTATTGGGAATGGCATAGTTCGATGGTAGTACAAACATATAGATCGCTCTGCAACGGGAAAACAGGTTTTCTATTATCGTTCTGGATGAATAAATATATGGATGCTGTTTTATTTTTTATTGCTTTTAATTTTTCAATTTTCAAAACAAAATCTCAGTATTTGCAAATATATAGCATTTTTAAAATCATACGCTAAAGGGGAAAATATTTTAAAAATAAATGAAAATTCGTACAACATTTTTAGTTGAAGAATTTTGTACATTAAAATGTTAAACCAAAATGTATACAACAAAATATTTAGATTAACTTTGGTCGCATACCCTACGCAATATTTTCAATTTGCTGCTTTTAATTTTTCTGTTTTAGTGGAATCTTACTTTCTTGCATGCAGAGTATAGATCACGATTGTAATCGTGCAGAAAAATTAAATACAATTTTAATAGTTTTCGCGGTTTTACACCTTCCCACTGTAACGTTTACGGAATAAAATGGATATATTGTAAAAATTGAGACTTTGACAACTTTTGCTTCAAACCCATTTTCTAGCATGATCTGAAAATTTTTCCTGCTATCTTATGACTTACATCAAAACTTTCTTCGGCATGATCAATCTGATTTTCAGTATGATTATCTGGTGATATCCAGGTGGCTTCATGAAAATTTCGGTGTGGGAAAAGTGTACCGAAGATAGTAAGCTCATTTGAGGCACAAGAGTCTGTGAAGAGTTGACCATTTTCTTTATTTCCCCTAGGCCATTGGTTCCCATCTCCATTTCCCTGTCTCTCACTACTTTGTCATTTAAATCCCCCATGAGGATCAGTATGTCGTGCTTGGATACCTTATCAACCACCGACTGAAACTCTTCATAGAAACCTGGACTCAAATCTAGATTTAACTACTCGATCATACAGGTTCCCATTCCAATAGGCTTTTTGTTGCCTCCTTTGTCAATAGCAAGGCTACGCCCGCCTCTCGTGGGTTTTCCTCATTTTCTTTTCCCGCGTATACCAGTTTTTCTCCCGTCTGGAGTTTTGTCCCTCCAAAGGTGTTCCATGTTGTTTCGCACTTTTGCACCCCTACCCAAATACTCCTTCTCCCCTTCTCCTCCTCTCTAAGGTAAATAAAAATGCTGAGACTACTACCACTCCATTCACCTGATGTGATTTTAATTAGTCTTAATTATTTCTGTAAAATATAAATTTCAATAAACACAGCTTTTCAAAAAATTAATTGATTCCATTTAGTTCCTCTAATTAAAACTAATTGAAAACAGAGTAATTAAATCTTCAAACAATTAGGAAATACAACCAAAACTATATTAAAAAATCGTTTATAAAATAGCCACGTGGTCTGATTTGGCTGTAATCGAGTAAATAATCTTCCTGAACCACACATTTCTTGTGCAAGCGACTCAGACATCAACACTGCTCGCATCATGTCTGCCAGTCTATTGGCTGCGGTGTTGGCTGTCAACATTCTCCTCTGCTCTGGTGAGTTGATATTTTCAAAATATCTTTTATATTCTTCCTAGAATACATTTTTATACTCTTCCCAAAAAATACAATTTTTTAAACACCTCCCAAAACAAAAATATTTTTTTACTGCTACTAACTAAATTAACATTTCTCTATATTTTGGGTAGCCTGTACATTCCATTTGTGAGAAATTTTTCTAGATATCCTTCCCTCTATTCCTGAAGTATTTTGTATTTTGTTTTTTATAATACCGAGTATGTGGTAGATAATGTTTGCTGATATATTAAGGTCAGCTTTTTATTCGTTTTTATTTTATCACATTTTTATTTTCACATTTGGTAAGCCCTGTGCAAGTGTGGTCTAAAATCTAGTGCATAATTTAGAATATTTTTGAAGTTTTCTATCCAAAAATTTTCCGATTCCCCAACATGTATTAGAATTTACGTCTTTTGTCTTTTATAGGCTTACTTTGTTGCTAAAATTTACCTGATAATTTCTTTGTTATGTAACAAAGATCTTGTGGGCTTTATTTCTGTATGTATAGTCGTATAGTCGATATAGTTATTGTGTGTGCGTGTGTTTTTTTAGGGGTTGTGTTTTAGTTATATGACTCGATTCTATTGAAATATAAAAAGTCTAATTGTAAAATAAATTAACAAATGTTTATAATTACAAGCTTTTTTTTAATACTTAAAAAAGAAGACAATAAAATAGTGTACATTAAATATACTATAATGAACCATTTTAAGGAAAAGCGTTTGTCGCTATATTATGTGTAAAAGCTCTTAACTAACTTTATTTATTTTGTTTGTAGTTTTTTATAAAAATTACCCAATTATTTATTTAATAAAATAGTTTTATTTCAAATATTGACTTATTCGAGCCGCATATTTGTTTCGTGGTAACATATTGTGTTTTTACACATTTTTTGCAGGCGACAACCTGTACGAACACCATAAACAGGTCTTCATTCTAGAACTGATAAGTCTCTTTGTCTGTCTGTCTATTTTTTTCTGGTATATTTATATATCTTTCTGTTTGTATGTCTGTTTATCTTTATGTTCGTATGTCTGTTTATATTTATTTTTGTATGTCTGTACTTTTTTCTCTTTGTATGTCGGTATTTCTTTCTGTTTGTATGTTTGTATATCTTTCTTTTTGTATGTCTGTACGTCTTTCAGATAGAAAGTTCAAAATAAATTTCGCATAATCTTTTCCTTAGTAATAAGTCAAGTGGAAATCAAATATTTATTAAAAATAAAAAATTTGAAAGAAATCACAGAATACAATGCTTAGAAAATACATTTTCAGACTGTACCCGACGTGTAACTAAAATATAATTAGAAATTATTTTAAAATAACTGCGGTTAACATTAATTAAGTTAACAGGAGGTGTTTAAACTTATGACGCACACAGAGAGATGCATATAAAGTAAAATTATACCTCGAGATACGAACGTTCCTCAACAATGATCGTATGTCAAATGCGTCTTACCTCAAAAACATTTTTCTCCATTTCAAATCAATTGAAATGCCATTAACCTTTTCTAATCCTAAAAATGCGTTACACGTTGTTTTACAACCTTTTATTTAACTTGCTTCTTCTGTATGTCTGTCGTGCTTCTTCAGTTATCGAAACAGCCTATCAAACTTTCGACCATTTCTAACCAACCAATTTCACTGCAACTCGGCACGAAGGTCAAAACAAATTGACAATGCAAACTGACATCAAATTAGCATTAATTGGATAAATAATAAGTTTTTTTATGAATCAATTAATTTTTCTATTAAGAGTATTATTTACCGTGCTATTATATTTCGCATTTTTCGTAATAATTTAGTGCGCAATTTGTTTTAAGTCATACAACTCTATTAAATTTAGAACACATAAAGTACTGATAAATTTTTTTTAAAGTTTAATAACAAGCTTCTTATATTTTAAGTAAAAGTACTCAAGATACATTTAAGTGACCCAAGCTTTTCTTTACAGTTATTTAATAGTTTAGTAGTGTTCTTATACATTTAAAGAAAACCATTAATTTTCTATTTTTCAGTTCAATGCATTAATACATAACTGCTTGTTATTAAAACTTTTTATACATTTACGTTGTAAATTTTTACTTTCTCGTATATACGAAGTATAGAGAAAGTCTTGTAATCGTGCAAAAAAATCGAGATTTTTACAAATCTCGACGTTTTACACCTCACTAAAACGCAAAAACATACTTTTTGCAATCTTGTCCGTATGTCTGTGTGTGTGTCTGTGTGTGTGTCTGTGTGTGTGTCTGTGTGTGTGCCTGTGTGTGTGTAAACACGATAACTTGAGTACCGTTACAGCTAAGTTGATGAAATTTCATATATAAGTATTTTATCAAAATCGTAGATCCGTATCAACTTTTAAGCGATTTCCGATAACCGGAAGTGTTACTTTTTCTACTTTGAATTTTTCAAAAGCCTATATCTTGAGTACTATTTTAGATAGATAAATGAACTTCCACATGTAAGTAAAAGATCTAATTTTCTACTTTCTGTCAAATTTTGAGTAATTTCCGATTACCCGAAGTACTAATTTACGCTATTTCCGATTTCTCAAAAAACGCATTCGCTTGGTGCGCAATTCATTTTTCTACTAGATTTTATTCTATTTTTAAAAGTTTAAGTAAACAAAAATCATGTCTATATTCCGAGTTGCCATCCCACGTAGTGTTATATTAGAATTTTCGAGAAAGTTTAGGGGAGATCACTCCCGGTTTATTTATGAAAGAAAAGAGAAATGCAAAGAAACAAATTGGTTTTATCAAACTACATTTTTAACTCGATCTAAAGCTCATATCTTAGGTGTCAATTATCTCCGGACACTCGTTTCTCGAGGTACCACAGTTTACATTAGTATCTCAATATAAAGAAGACGGTTTAGACTAGTTATGCAATTCATTTCTTTATAAGCCTTGACTCAAAATACATGCGTTTGTTTATAATAGAATATGTATGCTATACTGTCACCAAATTTCACACCTATGCGTTGTTTAGCCACTTTACTTGTAAGTAATATACTTACTATCTGTATAGGAAATCATACGTTATTACTGTTTCATTAGAAAAAGTGCGAAAAGAGTTCTATGTCCGAAGATTTGCCAGAAAGAGCTGTTATGACTTCAATTTTAGGATATGCCATTTTGTGCGACACCAAAACTGATGGTGGTGGATGGATTCTGATCATGGTAAAAATTTTAATATATCACAACAAGAGGGTTGAAACAAGGCTAAGACTCAATTAATTAGCACTCATCTCTAGGGAAAATTGTTTAAAAACTGTACTTCAAATACAAAACACACACAAATATATATATATATATATATATATATATATATATATATATATATATATATATATATATATATATATATATATATATATATATACGCTCGTATAAATATGCTTTTTTGCAATTCGAACGACTACAAATCATGCAATATTTGTTTAAATAATTATATAATAAAATCTAATATATAAAGCTCAATTCTGTATGTAATAAGTTTCTCGTTAACATACTTCGATGGATTTAAGTGTTAGATAATTAAAGTCCTTATGGTCTAAATGTATGAGTTAGAAAATTAATATTGAAAGTTTTGGAAAATAATTTTCATTTATCAAACTGAAAGTAGTGAAAGTAATAATTTTCGGCATGTTCATTAAACACAAGTTTTAAAAAAAAATATCATCTTTTACAAAAATTCTAATTATGTCTTTATTTAGTCCTATAGCACTTACTTCCCTTTGATAAATTAGGAAAACACAATTACTTCCCTTTATAAAACCATTGCATTAGTGGAAAAGAATTTACTTTTTTTTACTTTGGCGTGGTCGAGTCGGTAAAGCTCATGGTTGCTAAACCGAAAAAGTCTCGAGTTCGAACCCTCGGGCAGATGAGGCTCGTTAGCTGGGGACAGCCACTCTTCTAGGAGAGACAACTCCAAAATTAAACAACTGCTGCCTTGTAGATTGTTCTTGGTTGGACAAAGGCTATGGAAGCAAATCCAAAAAGAAAAGCAGGCTGAAATCGGAGTCAATGGCCTCAATGGCGCATAACCAGTTGACACGTAACGCTTAATTGTGTTGGAGGCGTGGTCGAGTCGGCAAAAAGCTCATGATTGATAAATTCGAACAAAGTCTCGAGTTCAAACCCACTGGCAGATAAATCTCGATCCCCTTCAACACTAATAATTAAGAACGAAGAAGAAGAAGAAGAATTACTTTGTTTTGGTGTTGGGAAAAAAAATAATTACATAATTAGCGGTGATTGATCAAGTGCAAATGTTGTAGGTATTTTACGGATAAGCTTGGAGTATTATAATTGTTCATTAAATTGAAACAGGCGCGTTCGTTTAAGTGAGTGCAAAAGACTATGAATAAGTTGGGGTACTATAGTCGTTCATTAAGCTAAAACAGGTGATTCCGCTCCGGGCGTTTATGTTCGCGTTAGTGTTTTCTTTGTGTTTAGGTTGGTTTGCGTTAGTGGTTGCGTTTTGATTTGGTTCGTTTTTGTTCTTTCTTTTTTCGTTTTTGTTTGTGTTTTTTTCTTTGGGTTTGTATTTGTGTTTTTGGTTGGTTTTGCGTTTGGATTTGGTTTGTTTTCGTTTGCTTTTTCGTTGTTTTTTTGTGTTGGTATTGGTGTTTGTGGTTGTAGTTGGGTTTGTTGTTAGGTTTTTGTTTTCGTTTGCTTTTTTGTTTGTTTTTTCTTTGTGTTTGTATTGGTGTTTATGGTTGTGGTTGGGTTTGTTGTTAGGTTTTTGTTTTCGTTTGTATTTGTAATTGTGTTAGCGTTATGTTTGCGTTTTGTTGTTTTGGTTTTGATTGGTTGTGGTTTGGGTGGGCAATGCCGGGTTTAAGATGATTACTAAACACACAGGTAATGGTCTTTAACAGGAAGGTTTTTCACAGAAGCCAGAGCAGGGCCTGGCTGGGACGGCTAGTGTATTTTTAAAATTTAAATAATGACAGGATAAACTACGAAAGGGTGTTGAAAAAAAATATTAGCCTCCAATTTTTTTTTATTCGTATTGTTTTATGCGTTTTTTATTTTTTTTTATTTTTCAAAATTGACAGTATTGATTAGTGTATATATATCCTCTAATAGGAATAAATTAAAGTAGCCATGTAGAATTTTTCGATTGACAATGTTCATGTAGAAGAAAAAATATAATTTTAAAATAGAAAGTTGTTGGTTCAGATTAGCCCAGTATCTTTTTTGGGGTTTGGCCGGGAGGGCGCGGGACAGAAGGTTTGGGGGTGGGGGGGGGTAAGAAAAGGTTGAGTGGATGTAAAATGGTAGTTCAGGAGACAATCATTTTTTTTTTACTAATTTAGACTCTTGATTTTACTTTTAACACTGTACTAAATGACAAACTTTGATAAATTTCAAATATTTTAATAAGTAAGCATCAAATTCTTTAATCTTTATAGTGTGTATGGGCGGAAGATCGTATTTAAAAAAAATTAATTAAAACATTTTTAATTTTAAAAATGTATCCATGATTTATTTTGTTGGTTTTTTGTAAAAAGCTATTGTTTTTTAATAAGGCTCTTTTTAATTAGATTTTCAAAGACAAATATAACGGATTTTTCTCTTCGTAATAAAAAAAAGTATAACTAATACTGTATTAACTGCTACAACAAAAATATTTAATAAGAATGTGTAAATTATAATCCAACAATTTAAAAAAATGTTTCAGCAACGTTATTCTATACTTTTTTGGCATAAAACAAGAATATATTACATAATATATTCAGAATAAAGTATTACTCAAGAAACTTTAAAGCTTTAAACGTTTTTTTAGAAAGTATAATCTTTCAGCGCCGTTGTGTTGGAGAGGTAAACTTTGCAAGACCTTGGTCCGATTACAGGGACGGATTTGGCACCTATGAAGGTGACTTTTGGCAAGGATTGGAACAAATACACCAGTTAACATACGTACGTTTTTTATCAAAATGTATCTATACATTTGTTTATGTAGCAGCCCGATACCTATTGTAGCCCCATATACCTATGTATGAATATCTTAATTAGTTATATTACGCATTTATATATATATATATATATATATATATATATATATATATATATATATATATATATATATATATATATATATATATATATATATATATATATATGAGTGTGTGTGTCTGTGTGTGTACGTTTATTCTTAAACTACCCCTAATGTATACAGATATGTATAAACATGCAAATTCAACGTTTTTTATACATTTGCATATATAATTACAAATATAAATACACTGATACAAAAAACGTACTTAAATAAACCGGGATTGATCACCCCTAAACTTTCTCGAATATTCTAATATAACACCACGGGGGATGGCAACTCAGGACATAGACAATTTTTGTAATCCATTTTTAATTACTTAAACTTTACATAATAGAACAGAATCTCGTAAAAAAACGAATTGCACGCCAAGTGAACGCCAAATAAAATGTGCATAATAGTGTGGGATATTATTAGTACTTTATAAATTCACGTGCGGTTTTTTTTTTTTTGAGAAATCGGAAATAACGTGAATTACTCTTTCCGGTCGACAGAAATTACTCAAAATTGGATAGAAGGCAGGGAATTAGATCTTTTACTTACATGTGAAATTTCGTTTATCTATCTGAAATAGTACTCAAGTTATAGGCTTTTGAAAAATTCAAACTAGAAAAAGTTCCACTTCCGGTTATTGGAAATCGCTCAAAAGCTGATACGGATCTACGATTTTGATAAAATACTTATGTATAAAGTTTCATCAATCTTGCTGTAACGGTTGTCAAGTTTCCGTGTTTACACACACACAGACACACAGACACACAGACACACAGACACACAGACACACAGACACACAGACACACAGACACACAGACACACAGACACACAGACACACAGACACACAGACACACAGACACACAGACACACAGACACACAGACACACAGACACACAGACACACAGACACACAGACACACAGACACAGACACACAGACACACAGACACACAGACACACAGACACACAGACACACAGACACACAGACACACAGACACACAGACACACAGACACACAGACATACGGACAAGATTGAAAAACTATGTTTTTCCGACTCAAGGAGCCCTAAAACTGCGAGATTTGCAAAAATCTCGATTTTTTTTTTTGCACGATTACAAGACTTTCTCTATATTTCGTATATACGAGAAAGTAAAAATACACGTATAGAGCCTACATACATATAAACATAAACATAAATACACATATTTAAACCTAAATACGTTTATCTGCACTTATGAATTATGTTCAAATATTACTCCCTATTTTTTCTGGCAGAACGGAGGATGGGAGTTAAGAGTGGACATGAAGTTTGAAGGCAGAGATTACTACGCCAACTACAAATCATTTAAGATCGACAGCGAGGACAATTTCTACAAGCTTCATGTTGGAGACTTCTCAGGAAACGTTGGGGATGACCTCAGCTATCAGAACGGCATGAATTTCTCCACAACAGACAGCTCCAGCGCCACATCATGTACTATGTTTTACCGTGGGGGGTGGTGGTACAACTATTGTCATCATACCTATCTGACCGGCGAATGGGGATCGAAAAGTTGGGCAGAAGGTATCCATTGGGACTCCTTGTCCACAAGCGACAAAAATCTCGATTCGGCGGAAATGAAAATCCGAAGTCTATAACAAGTTGTCAGTTTCCTCGTTGTAAGCCTCCGGGCTTTTGACGCAATCATTTTAGGGCTTTCACAAGTTATTACAGTTTACAAAAAGGTTTATAAATACAAAAAGCAATTAGTCAATTCAATAAAAACCATCAGACTTCACGAGTGGGGTAAGGACTTCCACTTTACACGCCACTCCTGACCAATAAATTTTTATCTAAGGACTACATGTGTCCTTTCATTGAACTCCTTCCTAAAAAATATTTTAATTTTTGCTGTCGCTTTGCCTCTTAAAAAATCTTTTCGAATAAACGTCTCTTTGATGCCACAAACTGACTCTTTGAACATTTCTAAATATATGTTTTATTAGAAAGTTGGAAATCAAAGGAAGAACGTGATTTTTTTGTTTGGTTGTGATTTTAAATCACTTTGTGTCCGGTGAACATTTTTCAAAAGTTGTGTTGTTAGGGAGGTTAAGTCGGCACAAATGACGTATAGATGACTCTGGTGCATAGCTTGATGGTAAAATTACTCAACTTTCAAGTCTGCCTCCTGTAACGGACACCAATCTATCAGCCAGATAGTTGGCGAACGCTCCCGGATTCGTTTAACTGATTATACACAGATGGCGACAAGCCTAAATAAAAGAAAGTTAACACACTAGTTCGCTAGGACTCGTAATTGATGTCTAGGGGAAACACTAGAGAAACTACTGATGCCAACAATACATTTAATCTGCATATAACGTGTAATGAGTGTACAAAGTCGTGGAAGAACACTAGATTTATACAGGAATAAAATAGATTTACAGAATGAACAAAACCCAACTTACAATTTGTGGGAAATAATAATATGATACACTATCACAGCTTTTAACACTTCAGAAAAATCACCACAGTTTACACAACGCTGCTGTAAGCATAAAGAATTACTTAACCACAAGTAATATAAGAATATGCTACTTAAACAACTTAGTACTACACGGCAACACACAGGGCTTATGTCTCTCAACGACGTCTGGTCAATGAACTGCCTCGAGACGCCTGTGCGCAGTCTATTTATAGACTTAGGCAACATGGAAGGTCACCTTCAAATCATAAGGCCATTGGTTGGGGTGGCCATCTGGTCTGAATCAATCAATCATCTTTTGATGGAAAATTTCTGAGTCTAAGACTCTCTTAGTAAGACAGCGGAAAAAACCGGTCATTACACCACAGACCATATATGGTTTTATAACAAATGTAAAAATAAACATTACCAGACCTAAGTAGTTCACACTCCCCTCCAACGACGAAATTAATAAATATATAAGCTTTATGGAGTATACTTACTCTAACAAGCATCCCTCAGCTCAAAATTTCAAGGCCCCCCCCCCCACTTCATTTACCACCACCGGGAAAATGTTTTTAATTCTCCACAAAAGTAATGCTACGCGCTACAATCTGATGTTGTGAGCTACTCTATATGGGGTGGGTGAAAATGTATATATATAAAGGAACAGAAGGTTAAATCTACTGGCCAAGAAACCATTTTTTTATCCTGCAGTGGAATGCAGAGGGAGTTCACAAGAAAAAAGAAAGCTTAAAAAGTATTCCTACATGAAAAAAAAGTAGATGTTGCATGTATTCAAGAAAAGCACATCCACAACAATCTTCGCTTCTCTATTAGAGGATACACCTGCATAAGGCAAGCCAGGGAAAACAGACCTAAAGGAGGTATCCTCACCCTCATAAAAAATGACATACCAACAACAGATATTATTATACCAAACTCAACAGCATCTAAAATAATGGGCACTAAACTCATACTTGCAGAAGGTAACCTAAATATATTTAATTGCTACTGCCCACCGAACATCAAACAACGAACATCGCCTGGTTGTGGGAGAAATGAACAGCCACTCTCAGAGCAGGGGTTACTCTGACCTCATTGCTAAAAGAGAATAAATTGAAGAATGGCAAGCAGAAAATAGGCAAACGTGATGACAAACACACTTTTTACTCACGATCATGGTTAACCTCGTTTATCTAGCTTTTGCTACAAATGACATTTCCAAGAAATGCAAAAGAGATGTTGCAGATCAACTAGCCACTAGTGACCACCAAACAATCCTGATCCACATCGAAACATCAAATAGGCCTATTGAAACTTCCTCACTCCCCATATGAAACTACATAAAGCAAATTGGGAGCTTTTCTCTATCCCCACAGACTCCTACATACGACCAATCATTGCAAAATAAAACAGGTGAATAGGTTGTATACCGTCTTTTGCAAAGCCGTTTTGTTAGCAGCCAAAAAAATCTATTCCAAAGAGGAGCAAGACAAAAGTACACACCAAACTGGTTCCCAGACCTTCAGAACCTCCATGACGAGACAATTGATTCTAGAAACGCAGTAGAAGAAAATCCCAATGTAAAAAAAAACAAAATTAAAAGCAGCAAACGCTGAATTTAGAAAGAACTAGAATACCCGTCATCCGTTGGATAACTGTGGGTTTCGGGGGTCATCCATCAAAAAACATCACGTCTGTCACTCAGAGGCATAGCGACCCTTCCCGGCGCCCGGGGACAAACTTTTCGATTTGAACCCCCCCCCCAAAGATTTCTATTTTCAACCCCCCCCCCCCCTCAAACTTTTGATGTGCACCCCCCCCCCCACCCCACCCCCCCACTCAAACTTTCCATTTGAACCCCCCTCAACCTTTTAATTTATTTTTCCAAACCATTTTGGCGCCCCAACATATGTCCCCCCCCGCCCCCCCTCCCCTTCCCCCCCTCCCCTCCCGCCCCTCCCCCTCCTCGCTACGCTACTGCAGTGTCACTTATCGTCACAAAAAAACAGACCCCACATTCAAAAATATGTTTTTTATCTTTTAAAAACACCGAAAACAACGATTTCGGACTATCCTTTCATATACTGACGTCACAGGTGACCTACTCAACTCTACTTCACCTGCCCAGTGTCCCGCCAAGTCTCAGACAAAAAAAACGATTCCAGCCGAGCATGTCTCTGACCACACTATCCCTTCATTTGCTTAGGACAAAGAAACAGAATAACCCTACTTCACCTGCCCTGTGCCCCGAGAGGTCCTGATAGTCAACCTTATCATTGACATATAGGGCTTAAGAAAAAATAATTGAAAACGTAAAAAAAAAAAAGTTCTATTAATGTTTATGACACTGACTTTAAAATTTAGCCTTCATTCTCCAAAGCAAATTTTAAAATGCTTTTCTGGCATATCTAGCCCTGGCCACCTTAACCATGTTTAAATAATGTGAACACCCGCCATTTTGCTCGTGGTAAACATGGCCTAAAAATGGTCGGAAGTCCTGCGTCCGGTCCGTACGCCATATTGTTGTTAGCAGCCGACCACGCCTCCAAGTTAGTGAGTAATCCTACTATATCTAGATATAGAACCTAGATAACAAAAAAATCCCATGTATTCTCGAATTAGATGATCATTGAAGCTAAACAAAGATTTATATAAAATAATTAAGGCCCGAAATAGATTCTAGATGTAGAATTTACATTAAGTCTAGATCTAGAATTTACATTGAGTCTAGTGACCTAGATCTAGAATCTAGATCTAGGCCCTAGGCTAGATTCTAGATTCATAACTTTCCTTCGACAGTTGATCTTTAGATCTAGATTCTAGAGAAATTTATTGTAAAACTAAATGAAAAAGACAGTTGAAAATTGATATAAGTGTTGGAACGTAATAAATACAGCAAACGGACGTATTGTTAAAGTTATGACCGACAGAAAATTAGATTTAGAACGCGTTAAACTTGTGAATGGGAACACAATTTTCTTCGATAGACGACGCCATTTTATTGTACTAAAGAGTAAACAAAAACCTGTGATGTCACGGTCCCGCCGAGTCTAGTGGCTTTTCAAATCTTTTTAAAAAAATGGGTTACTGTACGTATGAATAAATCAATAAATTAATTAACGTCTTTAAATAAATTTGTGATTAACAGTCTGTCTGCATTAAAAAATTATTCTCTACCTACATACTATTTTACAGCTCTCCAGATAGAGTCGAACATATCACAATTTTCAATCAGGCAAACAAACAAATAAATATTCAAACATGTAAACAAACTTGACTTTTAGTAGTATATAGATTATCAAACTGCAATTAAGAAAAAGCTGGCATGAAAAAAACGAAACACCTCAATGTGGATAGAGATAGTCACAAAAATGACTGAAAATTAATAACTTTGAAAAGATACCTCCCTTGTACATAGACGGAATAGCGTAGTCTTTGTTATTTTTTTCACAAAAAAATTGCTATGTGTATATAAGAAAAAATGACATACGGTCAAATCTAACAGCCCGAGAGAGATTTACGACGAGCAGAACGTTTTGTTTGTTACCCACTAGGCAAGTTCTGCGAATTCGCGGAGCGGCATAGGGGTTCGTCGAGGAAAATTAATTTTAATAAATAGCTCATAAAAGGAGTATTTCGCCGGCGGTCATTTAAGTAACAGTCTGACCGTTAGTTTTCCCATACGGCTTAGCAATTTTCCAAGATATAAACCAAACGATACCCTCATATGTAGAGTTCACAAAAAAATGTAAACTCCACATCCTCTATCCCGCTTTGACCTCTAAGTTGACTGGGAAATTTAACTTGGCAGAAAGTTAACAAAATCTGATCAAGTTGTCATCCCCGCCTCGACCCCCCCCCCCCCCCATCACTTCCCCAACCCTTCTTTTGACATACAAGGTATGTGATGTCAGATACACTGCACATAATAACTTAAAGTGATTTCAAATTCATAATCATGAATAAACCACGAAAAAAATCTTAAAATCTTAGGAGTTTAGGCTTCGTGTGGAAAGTATAGCTACTGATAGTGTTGTTTTTTCTTTTAATATTTTTAGTAGTGTTGATTTCATATATAAAGAATCACTATAAATTGGAAAATAAAATATATATAAAACATCTTTACTGAAATAAGACTTTAAATGCACTGAAAATAAGAAAATAAACCAAATCTGCTTTCTTTAATAAAAGCTATGATCGCTTTAATTAAAGCTAAGGTCTCTCAAGAGATCTTTTGCATATTTCAGTGACAAACCATTTATGAATCTCCCCTAAACTTTGTCGAATATTCTTATAGAAGAGTTAATTACTTAAACTTTTTAAAATAGAATAGAATCTCGCAGAAAAAAGAATTGCGCACCAAGTGGACGCAAAACCATAGTGCAGAATATTATTAGTACGTTATAAATAAATAGGTAATCGCGTAAATTACTATTTCCGGTCGTTGGATATTTTTCAAAAATTGACATAATGCAGTGAATTAGATTTTTTA